ATCCGAGTCTCTTTACCATATCCTGCAAGGCAAACAACTTCAGGTCAGTTTTAGTAACCAGTGCTATGTCATGCCTGTGGTCAATGACTTTAAGTATGCCCACACCCATATGTTTCCTAAATTTGGATGTCTGTGATAGCAAACACCGGGGGCTGGGTGGGCAGTCCTGTTTCACCAAAGAAGAATTTGGGGTATTTTCACTCTTTGAGCATTCTCTTTCACCTTCTGAGCATTTCCTGGATGAATTCAGATTTACTAGAGGACACCAGCTAAGCAGATGAGCAAACCAATTGTGACTCCTGCATAATTCCAAGAGGTGGATGAGTCAGATAACAGATCCACAGAGCAGAAGATATCCAACCCCTACAGCAGCCAACTGTCAAAGCTTACAGACAGTATGAAAACAGGTCATGTATGGAGTAATATTTCTCCTAAATACTCCACCAGACACAGTGGTTTGTGGCTCGGGGACTTCCTGAAGCAGAGATGCTATGTCTGTGTGTATTAGCCTGGACAGACTTTTCTTCCTCGTATTTCTTCAACCCAAACATTTTAGTACTCACAGTGTCCTATGGAAATAAGCTTCTCAGTGTATGTGTTGATTGTCCCTTTCTTTTTGATCCTGGCACTTTCTAGGCCACTTCCTTTCCTTTTCAGTCTTTCCTCACTCTCCATGCCAAGTTTTGTAATGAAACTCTGAGACAGAGAGTGAGCAAGTCCCACTCACTATTTAACTGCTGGTCTCCTTTGGAAAATGCTCTGATGTTTTATCCCAGGGGAGCCAGTAAGTGTGTGACCAATTTTTATCCCAGTACACTCATACACATAAGCATCATCTTTAAAAGCTCCCTCCCAGCAGCAATTCTGTATTGCAAAAGATACAGGATTAGTCCTGTAAAAACAAATGATCATCATCAGCTCAACTGCCTCCTAATTTGCCCAATTTTTCATCTGTTATGAGACACTGGTGGAGCTTATCTGAACTGCTGCTATCTGCTGGCACGCTGACATTGCAGAGGATGCAGAAAAATGGCGATTCCTCAGTGTGTTGCCATGACCTCAGCTTTGCACCCTATTTCTGCCTGTTTCTGCTCTTACTGCTCCGGGCCATCCATGTCAAAGGTGAGCTGTTGCTCAGTCCAGAGGGCACAGATATGGCAGTGGCAGCACAGAGAAGGGATGTGAGCCTCCTCCAGCTCAGGGACCTGGTTTAAGCACAGCTCTGCATGTCACTGTACTGGTATAGTGAAGAGGAAAATCTTCTGAAGGAGGGGCAAGAATAAGTGGTTGGGGGCAAGGAGCCAGAGGAATTTCTTTAATTGGCTTTTTCCCTGCATCCAGCACATTCTGAGTACTGTCAGCAGAGGGGCAGAGCTGGAGATGCAAGCTCTCAGGCTTGCAATGCTGACTGGACAGACACATATATATTTCTCCACAAAGCCCTCCAATCCTCTCATGTATACCTTTTCTCTGTTCTGACTGATTTATAAGCATGCTTGCATCTTGAGCTAGAAAATACTGAATTAACTGTCTTTAACCCCTTCAGAACAGGAAACTAACATTTTAAAAAAGCTTGGCTGATTGTTGGTGCAGCTCCATCTCATCTTTCCTCACCTCCTGCTAGTTTAGCTGAGTCTTTGATCTCACTCTCTGGCTTCCATTGTTCCTGTGCAGTTAGGAGAGGTTCCCAGGCATGGCTGTCCTATGGTACCACCAAAACCAAAACCAGTTTCACCAGGGATACCATGCAAGCTGTCAGTCCTACAGATGCAGAGAGCAGAGCCCAGCAGTTTGCCCTGCTCACTTGGGTTTTCAGCTTTTTTTTTTTTTTTTTTTTTAATGGTTTGGGATGGAAGGAACCTTAAAGCCCATCCAGTTCCACCCCTGCCATGGGCAGGGACACTTTCCACTATCCCAGGTTGCTCCAAGCCCTGGCCAAGTTGGTCTTGGACATTTCCAGGGACTGGACAGCCACACTTTCTCTGGGCAACCTGTTCCAGGGCCTACCCCCTCATAGGGAAGAATTTCCTCCTAATATTAAATCTATTTGTTACTCTGCATTGAGCAATCCTGTGAAGCCAACCATTTCTGTCTTGTCAGAGAACAAAAATGTCTTTCACACAAAACAAACAAACAAATACCATTAATAGGTTACCAAATAGGACTTGCTTGCCCTCTCTGGTCCAGAGCTGAGGCTCCCAGAAGCTGTGTTGCTTTACTGGATTTTCCCATTCCTTGCAGTGCACTTGGAAGGGTTCCCAGCACCCTGAATGCAAAGCAGGTGGACTGGTACCTACCATGGATATCCCCAAATTTAGGATAATACACACAACATCTGCTTACATAACGAATTGAATGGGCTTGGTTTACAAAACTGGACATTTGATCTGTGGCTCAGCTTGGGTGCGGGAGATACCAAAGTAGCTCCCAGCACCTCTCCCTCCTAGCACCGGGTTTTGGAGTGCTGTATGTACCTCAGAGGCTGGTTGGAAATAGCTCTGGATAAGCCACACTGGCAGTTGCGGATAAGTAGGAAGCGGCAGCCAAGACTGGATGTCAGGAGAGGCCAGGAGGGGATGTCATAAAAACCCTGTGCTGTTTGGAGTGCTTTCATCCACGGGAATTCTTCAAGAGTTGGCTCATGAAGTGGTGCAGCTGTCCCATGCTGCTGGCAAGAGCAGCGTGGCCACGTGAAGTGTCCAGGCGATGGCCGGTGGGGAATTCCGTGTCTCCTCCTAATGGGACAGAGGAGGCTTTTCAGCAGAAGATTCATTTGGCACCTTACAAAGAGAAAATTTGAAAATCTGCCCCTACTGCTTTGTCCTGCTTCCATGCTGCTCTGCTGTCCTGGCTGTAAAAGGATGATAAGTCAGGGCTCTGCACAGCCTGGGAGCTGTAGGGAACCACTCTGCAAACAGTTTTTGCTCCAAGAAAAGCCTGGCGCACTGTATGCAGCCATTGTGCCACAGACCCCAGGGTTTCCACCAGCCAGATTTTCTAACTGCAGATTCCAAGTCATTCCTCTCACATTAAAAAGTTTTTGCCCCACAGGGAGGGGAACTTTAATCTCCTCAAACTGATCTGCTTTTACAGGAGGCTATTTTAGGCGTTGATTCTGTAACAGTGAAGTTATTGGACAAATGAAGAACATGGCATATGCTGTCGCTTGGAGCAATTTGCATTCCTCAGGTGCTAAAAGCTTTAAATACTTCCTTTGAGCATGAAATAGATCTGCTGCCAAAGAAGCCAGCATCCTGAGAGTGCCTGTCCCACAGACTCCCACAGGGGAAAAGTCTGCAGAGCTGAACTAGTCTGACCCCAGGAAATCCTTCCCATAGCTCTCATTATTGCTCAGTTTCTCCTTTAAGTTTCATAATTTGCTGAAAGATCAGTTTGATGTTTGGTTACCTTTCTTTTCACGGGTGGTGGCTTCCCTGGATCACGATCGCACCACTGCTACTACACACTGCCACACTTGTGAGCTTATTTTTATCTATTTTAACTAAAACATCATACAGAGATCTCCAGTATCAATACCTATAAGATTTATTCATTTAGTCAAGATTTATTCCTTTCCTTTTCTTCTTTTTTTTACACAGTTACAGTAGCAGTGCTATCACGCTTTACAATGATTTAAGGGCTTTTCAGTGAATTCTTGAAGTTGCTTTGGGTTCCAAATTATAGCAGCTGCTTTTTCATGCTCAAAAAGAATTAATATTGTGTAACAGACTCTGTGTTTGCTCCATTCATGGTTTGTTTGGGTATTTTTTTACACCTTCTTATTAAACTGGAATAGTAACATTTGGAAATTCTGGGCTCCATTCACAGTTTACAGGAGTGTCAGAGCTTTTCCTCTGCCCTACCACACCCTACCCACATTTTAACATGACTCCATGCTCAAATTAGCTGGTCCCTGTTTCTGCCTTCACAAGAACCTTTAGCTACTCATCCTCCTGGCTGCACCTCCAAAGCTGTCAATGTCCCCTAAAATTATAGTCAGCAATTTATCCTTCTCCTTTCCAAATTCACAAAAGGGGTAGGCAGTAAATGCCTATTCTCTGCATCACTGGATCCTAGCTGGTGCTATCCCGGTATGAGTATTTTATTACACAAATGGAAGTAAACCCACTTGGATTCATCAGACTTTCCCTCATACCCTTTGTGCAAACACTTGTTTATGAATCAATGGCCCCAGCTGCATGTCCACAGAATGTTGTGAGGAAAAATGGTATTTTGCCCCCATTTTTACCATATGCTCCATCTGGATAAAAGCTGAAGCCAAGAATTTTTTCTGCAGGCCAGACACTTGTTATTTAGGGAACTGGGGGAGTAATTAATGCAGCTCTCTGTAAAGCCAGCTTGTGACCATGCATGTTCATCAGAATGCGTGTTCATGCCTTTTTGGAGTAGAACCACAAAATAATTTGGGTTGGAAGGAACCTTAAAGATCACTCAGTTCCACCCCCTGAAACAGGCAGGGGCACCTACCGTTATTCCAGGTCCTGTCCAGCCTGGCCTTGGGCACTGCCAGGGATCCAGGGGCAGCCACAGCTGCTCTGGGCACCTGTGCCAGGGCTGTCCACCCTCACAGGGAACAATTTCCTCCCAATATCCCCTCTGTCAGTTTGAAGCCATTCCCCCTTTTCTTGTCACTCCAGGCCTTTATCCAAAGTCTCTCTCCAGCTCTCTTGAAGGCCCTTTAGCCACTGGAAGGGGCTCTAATGTCTCTGCGTGCCTTCTCCAACCCAGGCTGAATACCCCCAGTTCTTTCATCCTTTGTATCGATGAATTAATGATTAACATGAAAGACCGAGGAGTGGATGCTGAAACCCACCGAGAGTTCAAGCGCTGTTCTACAGAGGGTCTGTGCTCCAAGAGCAACACCCAGAAGGAAACACCCATGCCAAACAAGACTCGGTACACCGGGGCCGCAGCGACCGCCGCGCTCGCAGCGCCGCCTCCCCCTCACGGCCGCGCCCCGGCCCGCCCCTCACGGCGGCCGCGGGGCTTCCGCGGGGCCGCGGCAGGGGCTGCGCGCGCCCCGCCCGCGGCGGGAACGGGCCCGGCAGGTGCGTGAGGGGAGCCCGGAGCGGCCGGGAATGGCCGGGAATGGCCGGTAATTGGTCGGGAATTACCCGGGAATTACCGGGAATTACCGGGAATGGCCGGGGCGGGCGGAGAAGGCAGCTCGCATTCCTGGGACTCAGCCGCGGCCACGGCGCCGGCAGCGCCCGAACGGGCCCGGCCGGCCTTGCCCAGCACTGCCGGGCGCTCCCCCCGCTGCAGCCCCGGATTCAGCTCCAAATCTAGAGTGTCCTCAGCCGAAACGTAATTCTGCTGAGAACGCTTTGTTGTTGTTGTTGTTGTTGTTTGTTTTTCGTCATTGCTCGTTGTTACCTTCTTTATTCTTTACAGAAGGATGAGTTAGGTTTCATCCCGAAAAAAGCTCAAGATGCCCAGTAGGGAGTAGAGGCGAGGACTTGAATTGCAAGGAAATGAGATCCCCAGCACTTAGTAAGGTGAATAAAAGCATCCCTTTTGGCATATTTTTACGGTATTAGGATTGCACGTGCTGTCAGAATGTCTGTGGAGAAATTGACTCGATGGTTATATTAACTCATGTCTGCAGTCTTTTTTCAATATTTTTTGGGTTTTTTTTTTCCTGCTTCTCACACTGTTGTCCAGAAAACTATACATTATTAACTTACTTCTGGTTACTAATAGGGTAGACTAGACAGGAAAGGCAGAGAGACATCGTTCATGCTGAGAACTCATTGAAGGATCTGCCTTAAAATGTCTGTTTAAGAGGTTATGGAACAAAAAAGACAGGAATAACAGGCAGGAATAAGTTGCTAAACTGGCAGAAACAGGCAGGAATAAACTAGCAAACCAGATGTAGCCCCCAAGGACAGTGTTGCTAGTGATGGTTTCAGCAGCAAACGTGTCATTAATTTTTAAAGAGTGTTCTAGGGGAAATCCAAGGACTGCAGACCTGGAAGATTGACCACCAGCAAGTGAATTATAGAAAACGTAGCAAAATAGGATTATTGGAGAGCTGCGTAAGTGTCATGGTGGGGTGGAAATCAATGTGGCTTAAAAGTCATGCCTTAAAAAAATGCTGGAATTTTCTGCAGGTATAAATAAGCATGCTGGGGTCTGGCTCACAGTCTGTACTGTGATTTCAGGACAGTTTTAAACAGGAGCCCTTTACCTGAGCAGCTCTGGACATAATAAGGGAGTTCCCCTGTCGTAAATACAGTTGTTGCAGAGATAGCAAAGAGGATGTGAGTAAATGGGCAGCTCTCCCGGTGGCTGGAGGTCACCGTTGGGGTGCTGCAGGGATGCTTTGTAGATGACATGGAAAATCAGTGTTTCCAGCTGGCTTTGCCTTATTGAAGGTGGGAAAGAGGCCTGAGGGGGGTGAAGTTATGGCTGGGGAGCAGTGTAAATTCCCCACACAAAATGAGTGAGTTTTTGGAGCAGCAGTAACTAATTCTATGAAGTGTTCTTTCTTAGTCAGGTCTCCCTTTGGCTGGTGTTACAGAGGTTGAGGGAAGACTGAGCTTGGATCAGAAGGGTCCAGTCCAGAGACAGGGAGGATGTGTGGAGGAGCACTGGATGTTTATTCTGTTCTTCCCCAGGCTCCTGCTCTTGACCTGGGCTGGAGAGCTGGATACAGGGAAGAGGTATCCTTTGGTCTGACCCAGCACTGACCTAGTATCTGTTCCCACTTAAAATCTGTACAACTGGGAATTGCTGTGAGGAATTGTCTCTCCAGAACTGGAGGTGTTTTATGTACTCTTTTTCATTATTCAGTCAGAAAAATTGATGTACCTGAGGAAGGTTTTGCAGGTATCTGGACCTGGGAGCCAAAAGTACATGCAAATTACTGGTGGGATACATTTTTTCCCCCTTCTTTTAATGAAAACTCATTAAATACCTAAGGGAATGTCTGCAAATGCAGTCTTGTTAAAAGGATTAAAGAATCCTCTTTAGACTCTGTTATTCTTTGAGTACAGGGTGTATGTGCTGCTGAGCTGAGTTTTGCACAGATTTGCAGTCTCTCTCCAGTTCTGGCTTTCAGGTTTCTGAACCACTTGCCTGAGATTAGCCCTGCAGTCCTGAACACTCCAGGCACTTGTGCTGATTCAGCTCTTGATCTTCTTTTTCTGACTTCCATACTCTTTTTTTTTTTTTTTTTGTATATTTTTACCAGATGTGCTTAACAAGTTGTAGTTAATTTGGTTACAGCAGGATTAGTAAAAAGTGATTAAACCCATGGCTCATTATCTGAGGCCCAGGAGTAGGATTTGTTTATTATACAAGCAGGAAAATCTAGATAGAAATGAAGAGCTGCAGAATTTGTATGTATACTTACAGAAGAAGTTGAGCCTCTTGCTTCCCCAAATGCACAGGGCTTGAATCTGTGGTATGTGTTGCCTTCTACAGTGTGATTTTTCTTGGGCAAGAAGAAGAGATTTGTATTTTCAGGCAACATCCTGTCCAGAAAGTATAGATAGGCTTTGAGGCAGAGAGTTTTGTATTTCATATCTTTCTAAGAACAAGCAGAGAGACAGGGTGTAGAATGTGGGTTTTTTTCTGGGTTTCTAAGCTGGTGTTGCAGCCCCTCATTCTGCACTCATGTTTCTGTACCGACCCATTTCTCCAGGCTACAAGGCAATTTCCTGCTGCTATTCCTATTGAAGACACTGAAATTTGTCAAGGATCAGCCCATAGCAGTGAAGTTACAAGTGCCCTGAGGCTGCTGCTGTAACGTGTCAATAACAGCACTTGCAGCTCTTAGGAATGATTTAATTGGAAGTGCAGTAGGTGCCAGGCAGCTCAGATCCTGTTGCTGATGTCGCATTCCATGAGAGCACAAATTACCAAATGAGTTGATGCTCAGCGAGTCAGCCATGTTTGCAGCATGGCTTTATGTGTGGCTTATGAGCTGGAAGTTCCAGTTAATACTGTCACAGGAGTCTGGAGGTGTTGTCTTCAGTGGGAAGTACTGCCTTGTCCGAGTGTTTCAGGGGCTCAGTCTGAAATGCTGAGCTGTTCCTCCTCTGGCCCACCCTCCTGCAGCTCCTTCTCCTAGACAGGACTCATTTGCCCGGGCCACCAGACAGTTCTGTCTGGGGCAGGCTGGTGAGTTCTGACAAAGTCTTTAAGAATTCCCACCATCTAAAAGCCACAGTTCAGAGTAGAGTACCTGGCATGGAGCTGGTGGTTCTATGGCAAGTCTCTAACACCATTGAATTATTGCAATAAAGAATTAGGTGTTGAGAAAAAAAAAATAAAACCATCCTACCCTCTCTGCCAGTCATGCAATGTGATTTGATTTTTTTTCCTACCTATTTTTATATGTTTGTGTCTGGATTCTTCTGAAGGGAAACACGGCACTGTTGGGGAATTAGCACTGGTGATTCAGATGGTAGCAATGCTGAATTTCACTGTAGTGGAAATAAACTGTTGCTGGTGGGACTTCATTGTGAGAACCATCCAACCAAGATAAAGATTGGTTTTGATATTGAAAGTTTTTGTAGTAATTTTTAAATGCTGATGATCTGGTGAAAAAATGAGTGGCAACAACTAATTACTGATGTATATACTTGCTTGCAGGTTCAGCTATAGAATTCTTTCTCCATTTCTAAATTTGTATGATGTTGGGCCCTTACATCTACATGGGGTCCAATTTAGAATTGGTGTCTTTGCATTCTCTTGCAAAAGTCCTTTTTTTGAGGCTGAAACTTTACAAATTTAGTGCACATGGGGGCATTTTAAAAGTTTGATTTCAGCTTTCTGTGTATTCAGTATAGGAAGAATGTATTCCCCACTGAATAACAAAGGCTTAAGAGCATCTCCAGCACTGCCCATCTGGGAGATGGGCTTTTTCTGGACCAACAGAAAACTGCAAATTATTCTGGAGTTTGATCTAATGGTGCACTCTTGGTATCACATCTCCATCAGATCTCCAGGATCTCTTGGACTGTTTGAAACCACTTTATTCAGTGAATAAATGCTTGTACCTGTTCAGCAGGTGTAAGGACTGCTGCACTGAAAAGGAAACACCAGTTTTTGGAGCTCACATGGAAAGTGGTGACAAACCAGGAGAACAATTGCACATGATGTAGCTGCCTCAGGTCCATGCTGTTGGCTGGAACAATAGGTTGGATCTTTCTGGTAAGTTGAATCATTTTGGGGATATTCTAACACAGGCACTTCTACAGCACAATAAACAAGTTTGTGACTGTGAATAGGGCACCTCTAAATTTCCTGTGGAGGTTTAGATTCTGATCCAGTTACATTACCTTTGAAAATGATTGATACACAGCTTCTGTGGGCTTTCTGACGCAGCACAATTTTTGAAGTGCCCGTTTTCTGTTTTTTCTTTCTACTTAAAAGATTTTGCTAGCTTTAGGTAAAAAGTACAGAGCACTGGTTCATCTTTGCTTTTACTTTTTGAATTTTCTAACCTAACAGCAAACTTATTTTCAATGCTTAGTGAAGCAGAGTTGCTTTTATCTGCAGTCCTTAAAAGATGAATACTCAAACTGCTGTTTTCTGTTTGCTCATCAGTAGAGCCCAATATTTGCCCAGCCTGGTGCAAACACAGCTAAATCTGTCACCTGCTGCTGCAGTTTGCATAGGTTGTCCATGTAGTCGTAGCTTTCAGATTCATTGTTGTGCAGAGATGTGTAAAAACAGAAGTCTGTGGAAATGAGTTGCTTTTAAATAAGCTTTATAATCCTAATGATACTTATATCCATTTTCTAGAACTATGCCAAGAAAAAGAAAGCTGTTGGCTCAATTAAGTGCTCTTCAAAACACCAGCAGCTTGCCTCAGATCAATGCCGTGGAGCAGCTGAACACTACACCTGGAGCAGATCCTTCTCCAAAAAGCAGCAAATATTTTGTGATAGAGAAAAAAAATTCTCCTCAGCTACAAGAAGATTTTTTCAACCAGCCGTGTGTTAGTCTGGCCAAGTCCTTTCTGGGACAGGTAAGATAGGAGCATTGAGATTCTTGTACTGGATTAAGTGCTAGCTAATAGCTTAGTGTAAAAGGATGAAATTAATTTTTTGCCATTTGACTCCCGGGCTTGGCTATTTTAGGAATACAGCTCTCATTCCTTCTCTTGCTAAGTGCAGTGGAATTTAAAGACCAGTAGCCGAATCTATTCTAGATGAAGTCAGAGGAGTAATTCTTCAGATTGTCTGTTACATTTTTAATTGGGATTTTTTTGGTGGAGCTTTCCTCCCTTTTTTCTGTTTACTAAAATGTACTTAGCTGCTTGTGGTTTGAAGACTTTTTCAGGCCCATTATCTTCCTTTCAGCAATTGCTTTACTTGTTTTTGTTTCTTGCTTAGCCCAGTGGAAAGCAATGCTCTGCAGTCAGCAACATCTTCTTTGCCTCCATTTTACTGTCCTGCTGTGCTAAGGATTGTACAGTCCAACAGTTAAGCTCTCTTCACTCCAAATATTGCTATTCCTATATTTTGTTTCTGAGTTTCCAAGTCATTGCCTGCTCATGCAAGGACTTCTCCCCTTAGGCTATTGCATAAACTTTGAGGAGTCTTTGGACCTTGCTGAAAGCCTTTGGAAATCAGAGTGGTGGAGATTGACTCTTCTCCTTAGTGAGTCCTTCAGAAAACTCTCTGGCTGTTTCCAGGAGAGGGAGTTCCCTTAGTGTTTTCCCTATAAAAAGTTCCAGTCTAGGACCTTCTAAACTCAACTGCAAAATGTGTGTTCAGTTTCACTGCTATGCTCTTATCTTCTCTGAGTCTTTTTTGTACCTTTATTGTCTGCAGGCTGAGCAGACTCTCTGGGTTCTCATGGCTTTAGATAACTTCAGGAATTTGTTCCACAAACTGTTGGTTTTGGCCTGTTTTGCTGCATCCAGCCTTTTTTTATTTTCTAAGGATATCTTGCTTGCAAGTGACGCCTTTGCTCTGCCTTTCAGCCCTGCTGGGTTTCTTTCTGGTCTGCCTTCACCTCTTTGTGATACTCCACATGTGTTGCTATCTTTGCAGACATCCTGCTCGAGGCTTGCCTTTCAGGCCTTAACCTTTGGCTGCCTCTGAAGTTCTTCCCAACAAGCTCCCTCACTTTACGTAGTTTCCTCTTTCTGCTGCTAGGCAGGACTCTGGTAGATTATTTTTGGACTTTAATGCTTGTTAAAAAAAAACACTGAACTCTGTCCTTCATGGTCATGATACTGAGTTGTTTTTCAGGAGTAAGTCTTTGGAAAAGACCGTGTGTTTTGCTCCAGATCTGAGAACTGAGTCTTTTCTCATGATGTTCCTGGTTCCTTGCTCTGCACAACGTTTGATGGTGTCTAAGCAAACATTGCACATGTTCGGTCTATCTGAGGATGCCTGAAGTCTCCCATTACTGATACATTTTTGTTGCGTTGATGGCTCCATCACTCTCATGCATTCAGCTACACTGGGCAGATGATTTTTGAGTCCTAATTCTGTATTTTTCCTGTTTAGGCCTTGTATTCCAAACAACATGATTTCTAACTTAATTTTACATTTTCTTTAAAGTATAAACCCCAGTCTCCCATGACCCAGCCTATTCTCTCATAAAGGTAATTTAGTGTTTCCTTCATTACTTTAATTCTGCCAAATTTTGGAGGCATCTGGTATATTAATCTTGCTTACCTTCATGATACCTGAGTTCTTGGAAACAAAAAAGATACATGAGTGAATGGCCTTTCAGAGGGAACTGCCATAACATCAAGGTACATCCTCAGAGAGAAAAATAACCTTTATGAAATGGCTTACTATGTAGGGAATTACCACCATTTTAAATTTTTTATTAAACAAGAGTTTGGTGTGTCTGAAGACAGGGAAATGCCTGGATGCATTTAAACTCATAACCTTACTGTTGCATTTCATCATGTTGAGGGAGAAATGTGACCACATGGGTCTGGTTTTGGGCTGTTCCCAGGCACTTGCTGAACACTAGTACTTTTTTTTTTTTTTTCCCATAAACCCTAATAAACAGATTATTTTCAACAATTTGAAAAGTGTTGTAGGGAAATTGGTGTACTGGAGCTGCAGCTTTGGGAACCAGCTCCTGGAGCATCCGTTATGGATCAGATCAATATCTGCATTAGCAACCCAGCACAAACATCTGCTAGGAATTAAGCTTTGTTTTCTGAAGGTCATTTTTGAGCAGCTGCATAACTGAAATGTTTTAATTAAACTGATTGCTGGTGTCCAGACGAGACTGTGCTGCAGTATTTCATACACGTTAAGTAAAGCACAAAGTTTGGAAATCAGGTCAAACCACAAATTCCTTTGTACAAAGTTTAGAGGTTTTTTATTTTTTAAAAGAATCTTTTGTCTGTCATGGTTTGTTTCCCCTGCATCTGCTTTGTTTTATTTAAGGAGGTACCAGCAGCAAGAACACACTGTAATAACAAAGATCTGTTGCTGTCTGCCTGAAGGCAATTCCCATCTCTCCTGCACTGCCCTTCTCTGTGGTGCAGAACATACTGAAATAGCATTGATGCCCTCTCTAGAGCTGATTATCTCTGTGATTTGGGATTGGGACTTCTTTGAAACATCTCTAGGGAAGGAAACTGTCTAATCATAGCAGTTATTTAATTGTGCCACTGTCATATTTCTTCTGATCTAAAGATGCTACATTCATGATGCTTCAAGGTTGATATTAGCAGTGATTTTTGCCTTAAACCTGATGGATTGGAGTGGAGAATACAGAAAATAACCACAAAAGCGACTCCATGGGCTTTAGCATATGTAGGATCATAAACTGGTTCTGTTTCATACTGCCTCATCTACACACTTTGTGGCATTTGTGGGGTGAGTGACAGGTGGGAGCTCCTTGTACTGGGCTGAAAAGCTGAAAAGTTGGTGTTAGCTTATAGACTGCAAACTGGAGAGAATTTAATACCATCAGGTCCTTTCTTTCCAACTTCTCTGTTTCCACAGCTCTTGCTGTGGTTATTTTGTACTGAGGGCTGGTAACTGATGCACTCTGACCTCTCTTTCAGATTTTAGTTCGCAAACTTCCTGATGGCAGAGAGCTCTGGGGCAGGATTGTTGAAACAGAAGCTTATCTGGGTGGGGAAGATGAAGCTTCCCACTCGAAAGGTGGGAAGCAAACACAACGGAACGCAGCAATGTTCATGAAACCGGGAACTCTGTACGTGTATCAGATCTACGGGATTTATTTCTGCATGAATGTTTCCAGCCAAGGTAAGCTGAGGCTGAAAGAGATGGAATGCCAGCAGGATGGGGCTGACATTTCAAGCTACAGTGGTGCTGCAACTCACTTGTGAGCTTTCTGTGGGCTCCCTGATGTCAGTGACTTGCTGTCACCATCTTCCATTGGAACCTGGGCTTTGCCACAGTTTGTCCCAGCTGGGAGCTGTTTGGGCACACAAAGATTGAGAAATGAGGGAGAATCTGGATAGGATGGAGCTTTCAGTTGTGATGACCTGGGTTGCTGCCTCAGTCATATGATTCAGTGAACCTTGTTCCTCAAAAGTGGTGATGTAGAGAAAAAGTCAGAGTCATTAGCAACAGCCTAAATCTTGGTGTCTGTTGCCATGGCAGGAAACTCCTCTGTCTCCTACCTTTATCTTCAGAGGCTGAATGAAATGTTGGAGAAGACAAAAAGCCTGAGATGTCCTAAGCTTAAGCAAGGAGTCAGTAGGAGCATTTTAGCTGTCTAGCTGTATCTGAAAGCCAAAAAAGATTCACCCAAATGAAAATACCCAGACTGTTACAGAATCTTCCATCTTCTTTTATTATTCTCAAGAAAAATTAATCAAGCTCTAATTAAATTATTCTGTAATTTACTGAAATTGTCCTTCCACATTTCAAGACACTTAACAAGCATTACTGAAAAGTTCCTTCTTTTCCCTGTCCTGTAAGAATGACAGAATTTGCCTTGCAATGAATCTCTTGTTTAATTAGACACCTTGAAATGGCAGCAAGTGTTTCCTAGGTAACTACTCACTCTTTTAGAAAAAAAATCTCAAACCAAATTTATTTTCTTTTTCACTGTATCAATGATAAAGGTTAAAAAGCTTTGTGTATTCCTAAGTGGAAAGCAAATGGACCTGTGGCCATTAATGCTCAGGTTTTGGCCTTTGGACAGAAGCCAAGCAGAAAAACAGTGCCAGGTTATAGTGTGGAGGAAGAGCCTGGCTTTCCAACTCAGGGTCTGGAGTCTGGTGAATGGACACATGTGAACTTCATTACATTGATCTGCCAAATCTGTTCAGATTATGAAAGCACATGATTCATTTGTCAGGATGAGATTCTTGGTGATTAATACATTAAGAATAATACTTTTTATTCTAAAAAAATATATTTAGCCTTTGGATTTTAGAAAGATTTCTTTGAAATACACACTTTGGGAAATGTTTCCTTATATACCTGTATTTAGTTTGGTAGCAAAGCAGTTGAAGGGCTCCCTGTGGTGATGGAATTCATTGGATTTTTTGTTACAAACTCCCTGCTCTGCAGTCATTACCATGGCTGTGCACATTGTGCACCCCTGATGCACCTGCACAAACTGGAGCTGCCCCTTCTGCACTTGCCCACGTGCAGAAGTGTTGAAAAAAAGAATCTGGGGAGGAATCACACCCAAGATGTTTTTCTTCAGTTAGAGGGAGAGGGAGTTGTTTATTGTGCTGTGGTTTAGTCTGAGGGAAGGATTGAGGGAGTCATCTTCATGGTGGCACGTGGGGAGAAGGCAAAAGCATTTCATTCTCTGAATATGGGACAGATCTTCAAAACTTTGTTTTTACTCTGGCTGTGAAAAAACACAAAGAAACCCTGGCAGAAAAACCAAGAACATCCTTGTGGCATAGCGTGGTCCTTCTTCATAGCACACTCTGAAGGCGAGCAGCTCCAAGAGACAAGTGTATTCTCTGATGCAGTAGCAGTAGAGCTCTGACTCTTTAGGGATCACTTGTTTTGATACACAGCCTTACAGCCTCTGACTCCAGGTGGAATAAACCTTCTCTTTTTATTGCTGAGGTTCAGGCTCCAGTATCACTCAGGGATGGGAAGAGTGTGTCACCCAAAGGCCTGTGTTCATAAAACTATAATGAGATGAGGGGGGCTCCAGTATTCTTTGTCAGTGAGGAAGGGGAAATCTTCATGCACATCACTGAGATAAAGCTGCATCATGGGCAATTTTACTGTGAGAGGTCCTCCCACCACTGAGTGAAATACTGCAGCTGCCTGAAGCCACAGCAAGCATTACTACGTTTGGAGAAATCATGGGTGGTAGAGGAGAGCTTGTAGAAAACATATAGCCAAAGTCTTTCACTGTGCATGAATCCTACAGTGCATCCTGAGCTGCGCAATAATCTCAGTACTAAGAGCATTCCCTAGAGTTAAGAAAGATGTGGGGCTTCCCTTGCCTCAGGAAGAGGATAAATGACTCTCTTTGACTTAGCTGTGATCTGTTTCTCAGGAATTTGCCAAGGTCTGTGTTTTGCTGCCAGATCTGAAAGAATAGCTTGTAAAATCAAGAGCCTGGTGATGCTCAGCCCAGGATCACATTGCAGGGACTTCTCCCTAACTTTCAGCTCCTAGACAAGGATTTGGAAGGAAGTACTGGGGAGCACTGAGTCAGGTGGGTGAATGGAGGAGAAAATTCTCTCCAGTGGCCAAGAGCTGTTTTGGGGAAGGAGCGGGAAGCTGCTCTCTGGGGGTGTGGGACTCCACTGTCATGTTATGATTTCTAGCTGCTCAGGGAGAGAATTGGCCTCTGCAGTGTTGTTAGATCCCAGCTTTTAGCCCTGAATGCTGCTCATTATACGGAGTGAGTTTTAACAGGAGAGATAAATACTCAGCATCCCCAGCTGGCCCTGCTGCTGCTGGTGTGTGCACATTGGGCAGATGCTGAACTCAGGTGACCTGTGAGAGTGAAATGCTGCAGGCTGGGAGGAAGCCAGGATGAAACACTCTGGAGTTGATTCAGCCACTCTTTGGGAATTAAAATTAAATTTCTAACATGGTAGTTTGCTCAGGAGGACCCAGGGGTGTGAGGGGAAGAAGGCAGTAGCTCATCATGGTATCCGTGCACTCTTGTCCTGCCTGCTGTCTCCACCTCTTCCCAAGGCTACTCTCTGGGTAGAGTGGGGTGTATGTTACCCACAGCTAGAAAGAGCCTGGAGACTTCCAGCTGGAAATGCAGAAAGAGCAGCCAGACAGAAATTCCCAGTACCCCCTGGCTGGGCTCTGTGCTGCTCTGGGAGCACCTGCAGCTTTCCAAGTGCTTGTTTCTGTTCATGTGAATTCCCAAGGACTCGCTTCAATTCAAGTGTGACCAGTTTCCACTTGCAGTTGAGATGGGTGAATGCAAGCAGTGTAATGAGAGATTGCTCAGAATCCTGTAGTTGTTCCTGGCAAGGGAGGCAGCAACATGATGGGAAGGATGTTTCTTTGTGCATTGATAAAAAGCAGAATTAGGACATGGAACATGTTCTTAAAAATCTGAAATGACCTTTGAGCTCTAAATCACTGTTAGGCCAGGGAAGCAGCTTTTGGCTGCCAGATTAGCATCAATCCCCCTCCTTGGAGAAGGGAGTGCCTGGGAACAGATTGCTGACAGCTGTTGGAATTCGGGCTGTTGACTTCACCGAGCTGTAGTCAGGGCAGCAGGGGTTCCAAGATGGTTCAGGGCAGCAGGCACACCTCAGAGAGCCAGGAACCAGGACCTCACTTGGAGCCCACAGGGGTAATTCAGTGTGGGATTTGTACAAAATATGAGAGGGATTCTATTTTGGGAAATCACAGGGCCTTAGGGATCTGCCAGTGCCTACAAAAAAAGCCTTTGCCAGGCATGAGCGTGGCTCCAGATGTTGGAGGCTGGAGAGGGACTCTGGGGAGCAGCAGTGTGCAGATGCTGGTGGGAGGAAAGCTGTGGGTGGCCAGCACAGGGGGAGCTGTGTGGGGCTGCACACAGGCCCTGTGCCAGGACTCTCCTCACCCACTCAGGGGCAGGGGGAGACCTGGGCCCACGCTGGCTGCTGGAAAACACCAGGGAAAGGTTTCTGTCCCACTTAGGCTGGAGATCCTTGTCTGACAGGGAATGTCTGCTCAGAGCTGCATCTTTGCTTCGCTCTCACCTGGCTGCAACAGCTGGGAGAGAAGGACACCTAAGGCTTCTGACAGGGTGGCAAATCACTTTGAGAAAAGTTTGTCAGTTTTGTTCAGTTTTTGTCACAGAAGGGTCTCCTGTGCTAAGTGCTGCTGCCAGGGCTGTGCATCCCAAGCCAGACTGTGCAGACCTGTCCTGCCCCAGGTCCCTGCCTTGGGAGAGCTTCCCTGGCACACGTGTCACCCTCTGTTGGAGCTGTGCAGTGACCCAAGGCCATGCTCATCCCAGCTCTTACAGCCCCAGAGGGAGTTTGGATTGGTACCAGCCCAGGCCCCCTCAGCACTGTTGTGCTCCCAGTGCCTGCAGCTCCTTGCCAGGTTTGTCTTTGTCCCGCCTCACTCTGCAAGCTGCCTCTTTCTGCTGGCAGCATCCAGACTCATTGCCCCTCACCTTTGTTAGCTGGACTTCTTGTAATCAGAGTTTATTAGAAATGCACTGGGTTTGGGAGCAGAGCTTTGGATGCCTCTGCCAAAACTGAACCAGATGTATACTTATTTCTGAACATTGTGCTGACATAAGAAAAAGCTCTTGCCCTCTGGCAAGCCTTGGAGCAGCAGCCAGACTTAGCAACATCAGGTGGAGCTGGGAAGAGCAAGTCAGCACTGCAGAATGAAGGGCACAGAGCCACAGGACACTGGAGAGTTGGAGGAGGGAAGGGAGCACAGGACAGGCCCCATGGTCGGGTGCAGCAGGTCATTCTCTCTTAATCAGGCTGAGCCACGGGCTCAGAGCTGAAGTGCTGATGGCACTGGGCTGAAAGGTGAGACATTCCCAAAAAACAGCTCCTTACTAACACCCAGCTCTTGTTCTGCACAGGAGAAGGGGCTGCAGTGCTGCTGCGTTCCTTGGAACCTCTGCAGGGCTTGGATGCCATGAGGGAGCTGCGCAGGGCCTCCAGGAAGGCACCCAGCAGGCTGCTCAAGGACTGGCAGCTCTGCAATGGGCCCTCCAAGCTCTGCCAGGCTTTTGGCATCGACAAGGCTTTTGACCAAAGGGACCTGACTCAGGATGCTGCCATCTGGATGGTGCCTGGACAGGACCCGCCGGGGGAGCAGGACGTGGTGGCCACCACCAGGATCGGCATTGGCAACAGGGGAGAGTGGGCACAGAAACCACTCAGGTTTTATTTACGAGGAAACAGATTTGTGAGTGTTGTAGACAAGAAAATAGAGAGAGAGATGGCAGCAAGGGGACACTCACCTGGCAGCTGACAAGTCTTGCAAGTGTCCCGGGGACCAGGACTTGAGCTGTGCTCTGTACAATGGCCTCAAGCTGCATCACGGCAGATAGAGGGGCTTGGGGGGTTTTTAACAATAAATGTACTTTGTCACAATGAATGGGTAAGGTGGAGCTTTATTTGCAGGAGACTGGCATGGGCCTCTCAGCCAGAACTGAGGCTGGTTTTGGACACTTGGACACTGAAGGCCACTTTCTCCCTTGCCAATGGATCCAGGCTTAATTAGGGTGGGTGAGAGGAGAAGGGTCACAGCTCTGGGCTGCTCCCATCACTGCAGCCCTCAGCAGAGGCCAGTGCTTGGTTGCTACAGGGAAATAGTTAAAAACTGGGTGGCAGCAGAGCATACTGAAAGGATGGGAGCTGGGAGAGAAGGATGTAAAGAGAGGATCTTACTGTTGTCTGCAGCTACCTCAGGGGAGGGGATAGAGAAGACAGAGCCAGGCTGCTGTCAGACAGGATGAGAGGCAACAGGCCACCAGCTGGAAAACAGGAAGTTCTCATTAGCTCTATGGAAAAAATTTTCCCCATGAGGGTGGTCAAACACTGGAACAGGGGCCCAGAGAAGCTGTGGGCCATTCACACCTCCACAGACAGGTCCTGAGTGACCTGAGCTAACACCTTCCTTTGAGCAGAGCCCCCTTCCAGCCTCTGCCTATCTCTAATGTCCAGCTTGGAGAACAAGAATGGATTCTGTCCATTTTCCTGGTTGCTTTTGAAACCAGTTCAGAACTTAGCACTGTGTGAACCCCCACACAGAGAAATCACAGGTGCAGCAGCCTGGCTTGAGGTACAGAGAGAAAAAACCTCCAGGATTCAGGGCAGGACCTGCAGGACTGCAGCCACAGTGGGTGGGTGACAGGGACATATCCCCCAACTCCACCCCCACCTTAAGGTTCACTTTCAATAAAAAAGATCAAGTTTTTCAATACTCTTGTCCCCATCCCATGAAAGAATTTGGTTTAGCCCCTTCTGGGCAGCCTTCTTTCTGATTGCAGGAGCTCACCTTGATGCTCAGGTGCTGGGGCTGGTTTAGACAGGGCCTACAGTGATGATGATCTGATTTTTAGGTCAGATACAGTTTTTTGCTCTTCTATACCATCCCTGTTGCAGCTGCAGGGCCAGACTCGCTGAAAGGATCCCGAGGAAGCTCCCCCAGTGGAAGGTAAGTCAGCTAAAGCTCCCAGTGTCACCCAGTTGGTGTGGGCAGGTGAAGCTGCTCCTGAGGGCCTGCAGCTCTGGGAAGAGCTCCAGCCTCACACAGGCAGGGGTGAGCTGGCACCAGCTCCTGCTGTCCCCAGGCCCTGGCATGTCCCAGGGCTCTGAGCTCTTGTTCTGGCCCTGGCATGGCTGGAGGAGCACTCCCAAACCAGAGCAGGAAATGCAGCCCTGTATGTCACTTTCCTGCTCCATAGCTTTAACCCAGGCCAGGATCCCTGTCTGGTTCCCTGCAGCCACAGCCATGCTTGTGGGAAGGGGACTGGAGGGACAAAACAAGCCCTGGGGACAAGCCTGAGAGCCCAGTGCCCTCAGCACCAGCCTCTGGGTGGAACATGACCCTGAACTTGTAGGTTGGCCAGCACCTTTCAGTCCTGCTCAACAACCAAGGTCCCATCCCCAGGCACAAACTGGGAAACGAGGAAACCCAGGAGCACAGAGGCTGCTTGGTGACAGCCCCGATCCAACAGACACTTGGGAATAAGGATATTGGGGCAAGGAAGGAATGAGCTGTGACACAGTGACTGAGTCATTCATTCATTATTTCATGCTTAGTTGTGATACTCTGCCTTCCCACTTCTGTCCTCGCTGCTGTGAGACCAAACAGAATTCCTGGGTGCCCAGGGTCATTTCCCTAGGAGCCAGGCCAGCTCCCCAGTGCCCTGGAACAAGGCCATGCATGCTGTGCCATGGGGACAGGCTCTCCTGGCTGAGTGTCCCAGCAGCACGCTGGAGAGCACAGCAAGCACTCCCAGGGCACCAGTGTCCCCCAAAGTTCTGCCAGCAGCACCACAGCAGAACCCTCCTGTCCCACTCTGAGGATCCCTGGGGAGCAGCAGGGCTGGGAAGGGCTGTGAAGGTGGCAGGAATCCAGGCTGAGCAGGCACGTGCTGTCCTGCAGCAGCCCCTGGAGCCTCGGGGAGCAGCAGGGACATCGAGGCACGGACAGGGACAACCTGCTGTGTGTCACATGGCCAGAAGGAACTGAAACCTCCTCCTGCAGATGTTAGGCTGCCTTCAGACTCAGCATGGAGAGCGTGGCAGGCTCCTCCCTGCTGTGCCAGCAGAGTCACTTCAGGAGCGACTGGAAGACGGAGATGACGGGGTCCTCGTGGCTGGTGACCACCAGCACGCTGCGGAACTTGTCGAACAGCATCAGCAGCTGCGAGCGCCGCATGTTCTCGTTGTACATGATCTCCTCCAAGTGGTGCCGGCCTCGGAAGTAGTGCAGCAGCCTGCAGGAGCAGAGCAAGGGAGCACGTGGGCCAAAAGCAGCTCAGACACACACTGCCACCCCCAAGGTCTCCTCTCCCATGGCATGCCAGTCACGAGGCTGTTTGGGTTATGTCCCCCATTTGTATGAAAAGGGAATTAAATCATGCCTAGAACAGAAAACCCCTGGAAAAGGATAGGACTTGGCTGTGGGGCTTTGCCAAGGTTCTCCTTGGATCAAGAGGTTTCCCAGTCTGGGGTATTTCCCAAGACTGTCAATTTTCAACTTAAGTTATATTTCCAGAAAGTGAACAAATACAAGTGCCAGTGATCCTTGAGAAGTCAGGACATGGCAGATTTCAGCTATGCTCTCTTAGCTAAGCCTGCAACTACCCTTTGTCACGGCTCTGCATCTGGGACATGGGTACCTGCACTGCCTTTAGAATTAAGAGCAATTTTCCCTCACAGCAGCCCAAGGGGCTTTGTACACGTCCTGCACTCAGGGTTCGGGCAGCTTGGGTTGGGCGCAGCAGTTACAACAGGAAGATGGAAATCTTGGTGGCAGGCACCACAGAGAAGCTGTGGGAGTTACAAATCCCCTGAAGCCCAAGTTCAAACCATGCTGGCTTCTTAATTTCCCTGTTCTCTTTAACAAAGACAGTAGAGATCCCCCTTTGGTGGTCACTAATATGCTACAGCCATCAGAAAACCTTGGCCCTGCACAGTCAGTCACAACAGGGTCCACGACAAACAGCAGAAGTCCCCAGTGGCTGAGGGCCCCTCTCCAGAGTTCCCTCTGAGCCATAACACCAAGGCAGCCCCCCCTGCACAAAGCCTGAGTTTGCTGCTCAGTCTCTTGTCTGGACACCCTCCCAAATGTCACAGCCGTGCTGTGACTCAAATACTCCCCACCCCAAAGGCCAGAGTCCCTCTCCAGCTCCACACCAGCTGTGCCTCCAGATGTGTTCCACATCACCCTCTGTGCTCCAGCAGCCTTTGCTCATGTTCCATTACCCATCTGCAGCTTCATGCCAACTGACTGTAAAAAGAGTGGAGATGACATGATCTGTTTTCCAATCCATTCACACGGCCCCCATGCAGGAACAGCCCTCAAAATACACCCCAAACCCACTGGAGCACTCCAGCCTGTTTTGGAGGATGGAGAGGCTCCTGCTTTCCCTGCAGGACCAACACCTGCCTGGCTGCCTCCTGCTGCTCAGGCTGGGCACTGCTGCCACCCACCACCCTCACAGGTGACTGGAAAGGAGTCACCATGCAACAAGTGTCCCTCCATCACATGCCCCACTGCAGAGTTTTCACCTCTAGCCCATTGCCACGTGTGTTTCTCTGCTTCCCAACTTGCCACATCCCTCCTCTCCCCCACGAGCTGCCTGTGGGCTCGGAGCAGGATCCTCCCTGGCAGCCTGGGGCTGGGCAGCCCCAGCTTGCTGCCAGCTCCCTCCTGCTGCTCCAGTATGGAGAAGGTAACGCTGCCTCTCTGCACCTGCAGCACAAGCAAACAAGACAAGCTCCAGTCTTTCCTGCATCTGGGCTGTGCATCTGCCTTTTGCACTCTCCCCCACTGTATTGAACATGAGGTTCTCTGGCCACCTCCCCTGGGCCAATGGCAACTGTGTGCACTGAGAAGTGGTCACTCACAGGGACAGTGTCAGTTCTTGGCTGTGTCAAAGCCAGGCTGTTCCCACAGGTGTGAACAGAAACATTTGTATTTTACAACTCGTCTCACAGTTCACAAAGTGAGTTTGGGGATCCCCTCCCCTGTGCCAGGCTCTTGTGCCCACGTGCTCATACCCTGGCTCAGCTCTCTCCCATGCAGATGGTACGACCTGGCTTTCCACAACAGCACAGACTGAGCAGTTTGCCAATAAATAAATCCATCTTATATTCAGAAAGAGTCTGGATTTGTAACTGGTCAAGGCTAAATACTTTCCACTCCAATAAAAGCTAGAGAGGATATTAAAGAATATCACAAAAATGCCAGCTGGAAGACACCCCCAAAGTCTAGTCCAACATCCTACCCCAGCAGGAGTATTGCTAATGCTGTGGAGCTTTTTCAAACCCTTCCAAGATGGAGATCCCTCCATATGCTTGGGCAATCTGTCCTGGGCTGCACCACGCTCCCAGGGAGAAGGTTTTCCCAAAAGTCCAACCAGAAGCTACAAGGCTGTCCTTGGGGCTCACAGCTCTAGAGGAGGGGGACACTCCTTCACCTTTTTGGGCAATGAACGTTTATGGGACACAATCAGAGATGGCACTTCTTGGAGCACTGGCACTGTGTGTGAGTCCCTCTGAAGCTGCTCAGGTGTGGCTGCTGACAGATGTGCACATCCAGATGCAGTGGTGGAAGATCATTGCTTTCCATTGCTCATCACTGTTTTCCCCTCCACAAGTTGCAAGAGCTGCCCCTCTAACAGCACTGGAGTGTTCCTACACACTAAAAGGAAAATAATTCTCTCAGACTAGCAATTCAAATAGAATTAGCTTGTTTCTGGCCAAGCAGATGTCCCTGCCACAGCACTGCTTGAAACCAGAGCAGAAGTGCCCACAGATCAGTGCTGCCAATGAGCATTCCTCAGAGGAGGGAAGGATCTCACCTCCCAATCTCAGAGCAAGACAAATAAGCCCTGAAAGCAACTCCACACCCGTGGCTTGGGAGAGAAGCCATCAGTGAAGCCTCCAGCTTCTTCAGGCTTAAAAAGCACTGCTTAATGTGCAGTGAGGAAGGCTTAGTGTACATTACTCTGGATCTAGCTCAAAAAGAAATTGTCTCCTTCTCAAGCTTCCTCCTGGGTGGACAAGCCAACCCTCCTGTAATTGCAACTTAGGAAAGAACTTGGATTTAAATCCCCATTCAATGTTAGGAGGGTTAATGCTGGAGCCAAGCTTTAGTAATTCCTTACTTCCCTTTAAGGCTTCTGCCTTCAAACACGATCAGAGCACAGCTCTGGACAGGCACCAGCACTCTGTGCTGTCTGTGTAACAAGGGACAGGCACTCAGAGGCACCAGCACAGGAAAATGTGCCAGGCTGAGCTTTTCTGCTGTGCTGGAAATAGCCCATCCCTCTGTGTGCATCCTGGGAAGGGCAAATAGCACAGGATATTTGGGGCACCAGTTGTGCACTCACAGCACTTTGCTCTGGAGGCAGCTGGGGGAGCAGAGCTGTCGGCCAGGGCTGGAGCAGTACCTGCATGAGGGTAGTGAGGGACATCACCTCCTTCAGGCAGCTTCTTCTCTTTCATTGAAAACAACAGATTTACTCATTCATCTCTGACAGTTATGACACAAAAAGAGGGAAAATACACCTACAAGTTGTGGTGTATAAAACCAGCAGTAACCAAGAGGGTCTGGCATGAACATCCCTACATGTGCACTGCAGCATCTGCCCACAGGACCCATCTGTTTATCGTTTATTTATTGTTTAATCTGTTTGTTCCTCACTGTTGCCTCAGAGCACTCTGCACTTGTCAATTCAATCTGTAGTAGACTGGAAATTCTGACCCGGTTAGGCCTGGGGATTTGCAGAAGAACCTGGGGCAGGAGCAAACTGCACAATAAACATCACTCAGCTGGTTTCACAAAGAAATCAGAGTCATTTCTTACATCTGCAATTCCAAAGCTTCCAAATGGCTTTTTTACCCAGCTCAGGGTATGAAGGGGAGCAATCACAACATCCTTTCCTCTCACTAGGATAACAAAGAATCTGCATTGCCACTGAACTGGTCCAAAGAGTCCCCTACACATTCTATCTTAAGATATTAAATATGATTTTGTTGTTACTTTCCTTCCTCTGTGGTTTTGTAATGACTTAGCTGGTGATAAAGAAAAAAACACTTCAGAGTTCTCAAGTTGCCAATGCTGCCTCCCAGTCAGAGCATATTCTCTGAAGAGTTGCAGAAGATGAAGGAGACGAATACTTCAGAGAGCAATAACTACCCAGAAGTTTTGAGAGCTCTGTCAAAGTCCCTCAGCTGTACTCTGCCACAGACAAGGAAAGCATCTTCCTGCTATTACAATTTCCCTGGGCTACCTGCCTGTATCCATCCTAGGGCAAGAACCAGGTTTTCAGGGTATTACCAACTGAATCCAAAACATGGAACGGCTGCAGTCCTTGCCTCAGGTGGTTTTCTGCTCCACAAGTATGAAAATCAGTGCAAGTTGCATTCCAGTGATGCCACTGAGTTTTGAAATCCTTTGGAAGAAAAAGTATTTCCCCTGCTCTCTGCTTCCCAGATGTCTGCTTAGGAAGTCATTCTGCTTCTACCACGTGCAGAACCATATAGTGCCTGTTTTTGTTGAGTGCAAATGTGTAACAACAAAATGTGTGCTCCTGATCACACATCCTAATGCCTTTAGCTTAACTAAGCTAAGCAGTGAGCTCTCATCACTGCCAAACACACCTTGGGACACTCTGTAAAAGTATTCAGGCTGGCTCTGTGTCTCATGTTTCCATGGAGTTTACAAACCATAAAATTCAGGAGAGCTGGCTTGGAAATACCAATGCACACAAAATGGCAGCATCAGCATCACTGGGTCTCTGCCTTGCCTGCTTAGATGGGTTTTTTAGGCTGTGCAGTTTTTAGGCTGTGCAGTTTTGTGTCTGCCATGTGTGGACAAGGAAAACTGGCAGGACAGTGAAGTCCATCCATACTCCCTGATGCTCCTTCACACACCCAGGACTCTGTTACCAAGTGTTCTTGTGCCACAAATATTCGTCTGTATTGCACAGGAAATACAGGAGCAAACCCAAAAGAATTTCTCCTCCAAATCCCCAGGCCTGCAGGATTTGCTCAGTCTCCAGACCAATCCTTCCATAAAGCAGGGAGGATAAGAACCAGTGATGGCATCCTGCACTGCTCACCTTGCAAACATGCGGAGATCCTCTGGATTCTGGGCAGCTGGGACGTTCAGGATGGCTTCCCGCTCGTGTTCCAACAGGCTTGCCAGGAGATTCTCTGTCATCCTCTTATTTAGGGGTGAGTCCCCACCAGGTATCAGCTCAGCACTGGAATTATCCATGCTGGGGCTTGTCAGAGTCATGTCATCACTACTGGCTATCGGGACAAGAGAGAGACACACATATACACTAAATTTTTGTATTCCTCACCATAAGGATGCAAAGTTTATCAATTCAGGCTGTTTCTGTGCAGCCTTTCCAACTAATCCCTCTTCTCTGGAGAGCAGAGAAAGTGGCTCTCCAAGTGCTCCATGAATCTGCAATTAGTCATATGACAACACAGCGATTTTCTCAATGGGAAATTCAAATGTTTCAACAGAGTCATCAATTTGTGTGGAAAACTGTACTTCTGGAGACCATAAACAGTCCATAAAAATCATTTGAAAAGAGAATTCCCAGACAGCTGTGCTGGAATACCATGAAATGGTAACACGGAAAGCCTAACAGCACAGAAGGTGGGAGCAGGCAGAGAGGCCAAGAAGCAATATCCTCTTGTGAGGGAGCCAGAAAAAGCAGATCACAGACTCATCTCACATTCCAAGATCTCTGCCCTAATTCATGGCTCCTGTAAAGCTCAAAGTTGTACAGAGGATCTCTCCCCATATCCAAGCCCAGCAGTGTTCTGAGAAGGCTGCTCAGAACAGCCCAGGCAGGAAAGTTTGGTGATTTCAGCATTATATCTGACTCATCCTTTTGAAAGAATGCTTTCCTGGAAATCACCCTGAAGAATGGCACTGGGGGGATTAGAGAAATCAGAGGACACAAACAGAAATCCATCATGTGTGAGAACAAAGCCAGCTCTGTGTCTCCTCAGGTGGCTCTAATGGCTCTACAGCCCACAGAAACCAATGCTGTTTGAACAAATTATTTCATATTCTTTCTGTCCTGAAAACCAAAATCTGCCAGAGTAACACAGGGGATACTTCTGAGTGCAGCAAAGGAGGACAAAGTTACTTTTAAAAACAAAGAAGTACCTCTCATAAAAATCTTTTACGTGACCAGATGAGAATTTGGCAAATTACAAAACATTACTTCTTTCTAAAAAGAAGTCTAATAGCCCCTAGGACTTTCACCAGTGCCCAGCTCTGAATTTAGGAAAGGCTGGACCTAATTAGCAAGCACTGCAGCAAGAGATGTCTCATTACCAAGGCCTGCTGACCCTTGGCAGCACTGAGGGAAGCTCTAGAAGTGAGGTGGAGTCTGAACAGCAGAGAAAAGTGTGCTCATACTTGGAGAGCCAAAGCTGAGAGCGTTGGGGGTGCTCAGACTTCGCCCCCCAACCCTGGCAGTGAAGGGCATGTCCTCATCCGGGGCTCGGAGCTCCTCCTCGTTCGGGGGCACCATCAGGCACACGTAGGTGTGGAGCTGGATCAGGAGCCGGTGCTGCAGCATCCAGATCACCATCTGGATGAGCTGGGTCTGCAGGGGAGAAACCAGGGCTTAATCAGCTGGGAAATGAGATACCAGAGGAAAACAGCACACAGGGTACACTTGGTGAGGAATGAGTCACATGGAAAATGCTTCCAGCCCCACACAAGAGTTCATCTCTTTTCCAATCACAAAAAGGTGACCAGACACAAAACTTCATCACACCCAGAGCCTCTGTGGGTGCTCAGGCTGCAGTGGAGCCTTTCATGATCCACATCTTTATGCAACACTGACCAGCACAGCCTGAAGGAACCTGCCCTGCCCCTGCCTCAGCTCCAGACCAGTTTGCTGGTCTCTACACAGGGGCCACCAAAATAAAATAAATCACAGAAGGGTTAATCCCACATGGTCAGATTGAAGTGCAGGCTCCTCTAGAGAGCCAGAGAGAGGGCAGGGTGATGGGGCAGAGCTGAAGCAACCAGGGGATGTGGCCAGGAGCCCTTGGGTGTCAGATGGGAAACTGCTGATTAGCCATGGGCGAGCCTTGGAGATCAGAGCCTGACAGGGCTGGGCAGCACAGAAGCAGCACCAGCAGCAGCACAAGCCCTGGCAGGGGACAGCAGCCTGAGCTGCCAAGGAGTCACCTCTCCATGCAGTCACCATCCCTCATTTCACCTCCCTCTGCTTAGTGAAAACTAAAGGCACTTGGGTTTTCAGGCAGGCAAGAGAATCAAAAGCAATGAGATGTATTAAACATCACCCAAAACCTGCTGGTCACCAGCGAGGGACAAGTGCTTGTAGGATCTGTTTTCAGAAATCTGGGAGGAGCCCTCAAAATGCATCATTGTGCCTTGATTTCTGCATAAAAAGCCTTTTCATATCAGTGCAGGCAACTCTCGTAGCAAAGGGCTCAGAACACAATCACCAACAGGGCTGCTTGGGGATTTCATAGCAACCACCACTGTTTTGGTGAGACAAACACATGCAGCATGAGCTCAGGCTCAGAAGGAAGCTCACTCTGCTGCATTAATCATCAGGGGAACCCGCCAAATCACAATAAAAGCCCCAAACCAAGTTCATCAGCCCACATAATTTTCCTTTTTCCATAAATCTGGTAATTCTCAGTTCCTCCTCTGCTATCAAATCACAAAAGAAACCTCTCTGTTTGCAGACAGACCCACACCCTGTCTTTTCATCAATTACCACTTCTGGGGGCTCAGTGGATTTTAATCTTAAAACTTTGTATCTGGGATTGCCTCCAAACATCTATTTTCTGGAAAAGCCATAATTCATTTTACATGTTTAACAGAAAATCTACAGAAGAGGAAGGTTGGCAAAAGACACCAAAGACATAATGCTTTGCTAACATCTGAAGCCAGCCTGGAAGAGCAAGGTTTACTCTAGCAATTATGTTCCTGAAATCCTTCTTTCCAGATGCAGGCCTGGATGGAAAGATGGCTCATTTATTTTACTTGAATTTCCAACCTGTTGGCATGCAGCAACGTCTGATTAGCAAATGAAAGAAGTCTGCACGTTTCAGAGTACAAAACAACCCTGGAAAAATCCAAGGAGACAGGAAGACAGGCTCTGCCAGACCTACAGAAGCAGTGGGTAGAGCCTGACCCAGACCAGCCTCCCCTGGGCACTCTGGTGGTTCCATGAATTACAAAAATAGCCAATTTCCTTTGTTGCAGCTCCATGTGCATGGATGGTGCACATGCACCATCATCTCCACACCCCTGTGGAAATACCTAGAAAGCCACACTGAGCCAGCAGCTATGGCCAGTGGCACAAGAAGCCAGGCAGAGGTGGTGGTACAGCTTTACAGCCACAGCCTTGTGCAAGCAACCTCTGCCAAACACCTTGGTGCCATCTCTGGGTGGGAGAGCTGGAGATCTGGGACTACCTTGAGGACAGGAGGAAACTCTTCTTCCATCCTGAAGTAAACTTGAACAATCATCCCTAGACCAGAGACTGATGATCCTTGACATTTTTCTGTACTAGCCAAACTTGCAGGAATTTGGTACCTCTTAAAAGCCAGTCCTAGAAGAAGCCCAAGTGCTGCAGCATCCTGCACTGGCCCCTGTCCATGTGATGAGCTTTGTACCACCACTCAAGTGCCTCACACCATTCCCACTTCCTCCAGGTTTTGACCCATTTCTTACCAAAGGCAGAAGTGTTTTCCCAGATGAGCTCTAGCAGAGGCTTTGCTAACACATTCTGCTGCCTGAGCTTCTGGACACCAGCACTGCATTTCCATCCATTCTCCATCTGCTCCTCCCAAGCTCCCATGGAGCTCACCCAGGGCTGCAGGAGCAGAGACTTCCCTGCACCATCTGTGCTGTGCTGGCTGGAAATGCTGCTCTTCCCCAGAGGTGCAGGGCTCTCCTTATGCCTGCTCTCAGGGCTCTTCATTAGAGCTGGGCTCCTTGCTGAAGCCACATGGGCTGGGAGCAGCTTTCCAGGCAGGATATACTCCATCCCAGGACTGCTTGCCTCAGTCATGCTCTGGCACAGCAGGAATCCAGAGCCAGCCTTTTTTTGGCTGAAACACCAGGACTGTGATGGAAATATAAAGTGAAACATTTTCTGTTGCTTAATTTAACTACCAATTCAATCAAAATTTTATTCATGTTCCTTTCATCCTTCGTGTCTGCCCGTGCTGCCTCTCTCCAGCCTGCTCAGAGGGGGTCCTGTCTGCTGCAGCAGCCACATCTGGCTTGTTCCTGCTGGCACAGAGCAGCCCAGGGCTATTCCCAGAGCAGTGCCAGGGTGTTGTCGTGCAAGGCACTGGTACAGTGCCCTGCTCTGTGCTCACTGGCACAAGCAGAGATGCTGCACTGGCTTCCAAAAACACAGCACTGCACATCAGCCCAGCTGGGCACTTCAGGCTGGGCAGAGGAAAGCTCAGCCCCAAGTCTTGGAGGAACAAGATCCAGCATTCCTTATTGTCTGGGGCCATTTGTAAAACTGTTGAGAAACATGTTAAATTTCCTGCAAGGATTCTTTAAGGCTGTTTTCTTCTCCAGGCCTAAAAGTTTAAGGATAACTGGGAGCAGCAACAGGTTCAGAAAAGGGCAGGGAAAACAACAGCCTAGAAGCACTCAATCCCAGTTTGTTTCTCATCACATGAGGAGACAGTGAAAATACAGTTTGTTTTGCCTACTGAAGCACACAAGCCCCCTTTCTCCAGCCTGGATTATCCAGTTATTTGATACAAATCCTCTTCAAGGTCTGACTGGAGAACTGAGGGCTGCCTTGGCTCAAGATGACGACACCTTCAAAGCCACTGGGTGGCTGAAATGCATAACCTTCCTTTAGCATTCAAACCATGCTGTTTCATGGAAAACACATAAACTATGAAAACTTCTCCCTGTTTTACAGGAAACAGATTCTGCAAACTCCTACTGAGGTAGGATGAAACATTTACTGTCTAATATTGTCATTTTTATCATTATGTAACAGCTCTGAACTCTCAGCTTAACCATTCCCTCCATTCAGGCCTAGCATGACATATTCTTTTAACTTACTGTGCTAAACCCCTGATTTTACACCCAGTCCAACTGAATATAAATGCATCTTAATCCCACTTCCTTACTTCTGCCAACAAAAGCTCCCTAATGTCTTGCAGCAGAGCAGCCCCACGTGCAGTGTGGCTCCCTGAAGACACAGCTGCCCATTCAGGGTGTGCAGGCAGCTCAGCTCCCCTCCCACTCCATCCCCTGACACATTCTCCTGCCTCCTTTTCCATGAGCCCTGCACAAAGCTCGGCATGTTTTCAGCAGGCACAAGGCAGAGGCCTCATCTCCCTGTGCCTGACTCCCAGCAGGATGGCCCAGACTGACTGAAACAAAAGTGAAAAGTTAAACAGATTTCGTTCAGCAGCAGCTGTCCCACTTTCCCATCTGTTGGCTTTTTTTTTTTTTTTCTGCAAGTTATCCACATCCCATCAATGGAGAATTAAAGAACCTTTAATAAAGATAATCATGACAAACTGCATTATGATAAAGGGGATGCAGGAAGGAAATGGGATGCCTAATTCACCTAGGAACACTCCTTACAGGTGAGAAGATCCCTCCTGCTAGTCCATGTTTGTTCAGGGCAGGGCAGAGAGGTGTTACAACTTCTGAGGCAGATAAATTGAGGTCAGCTGAGCTCAGGGCATGGGCTCATCCTCACCTTGCTGCCGTCCCAGGGAATCCAAGGGAAACAGAGAAAGGGAAGCAGCAGGGAGCACTGCATGGATACTAAAATCTTCTCAACTAACAGATACTCACTGCAATACACTGCTCCTCATCTCAGGCAAGAAAAGAGATCAAGATGACACAATCAAGACTTTCAGTCTCTGGCCCAGGGCACAGCTGAGAGCACTGGCAGGCCTGGCACACACCTCTCACCTGACACCTCCTACCCACCTGACAGGCAGACAGCAAAGGCAGAACACAGCCATGCACTCCCAACAGTCCTGTCTTTGCTCAGGTTGTTCCTATCTCCTACCAGCCACAAAATACCTCAGCACACCAAGTAGAAAAATGAGTGCCACTTTTTTTTTTTTCATCTACCTAAAGGAATAGAGGAATTCCACTCTTGTAATGGTAATTGAAAAAAAATAACTTTGTCTCCTTTCAAATCAAGCCACATTTTTATATAAAACCAGGAAGGGCTCTGAGAGCTCTCCTATTTCCTATGGAGGGCTTTATTAATGCCTTCTGTATTCTCTACCCATCCAGAAACACATGCCAAAAGCAGGAAGCTTAAGAGAAGAATCAAATGGGATGGATGCCATGGATGCCATGAGGCCACAACAGCTTCTGCAGAAGATACAACCCCTCCCACAGGACTGACCCTCAGCTCAGTGACCTTCAGGAGCACAGCCAATGCCCTCAGCCTGATGAAAAACATGAGATAACAGAAAACCACTGGAAATCTTTAAAGCTAAAAAACCTCACATCCCCTCCTGTGCACACAAAGAACAAAACTACAGAGAGAAGTCCCACCTTTGCTATTTCTTTTCAAAGGCAAAGCGAGTACATTTTGACAATATTTACAGTTCAAAGTACAACACCTTTTATCACAGCACAGCGGAACAAAAACCCACCCACATTTAATTAGATTAATTGCTGTATTGATTAGATCTCTGTTATTTACAACTGGAGCCTGACCACTTCAGGGCAGGGGTTGGAGTCACGTCTCTCAAAAGACTGAAAAATGAAAAAATAATACAAGAAGTCCTACATAGGTAAATCAAAGTAGAAGAAAATGTACTGATACAAAAATACATAAAAACTCGCTCTAATCTAAACTTCCCTAAGAACTGTCACATTTTACTTTATCAAAAAGCCACAACTTTTCACAGCATCATCCCCCAACTTTCCAATAAGGCTGAAAGGATGATAAAAGCAAGCTGTGCTGGTGATCCTTAGGACCCTAACACAGAGAGGTGAGCAGCAGAGGGAAGGTACACACTCTAAACTTGAGCACTCCATCAGCTCTGGTAAAGCATTTACTGCACCCTTGTTTCAAGGCATAACTGCAGCAGAAAGTGACAGACACTTATTTATGTATTTTAAACAAAAGTAGGACGTCTGAGAACAACCAGAACTATTGAAGGAGAAGTATTAAGGCAAGTAATTAATTTTAAAAGGATTACTGAGAATGTCTCCTGAAGCTACTGCAGCTATAATAAAATTAATGCTATGACTTCAGCTTCAATTTTCAGGATACTTACTTGTCTATAACTAGAGTGGAGTCCTGTTCTTCCCCTGCCTCCCAAGGTTGCAGCTGACCAGTACATGCTTCTAGGATTAGACCTACATCATTACTTATTTTTATCTCTGATCATCATCTCTGTGAACCTGTAATTACAGCCAATTCTTCCCTCACAGCTGTGCTGGAGTGCACAGGTGATGGTAATCTCTATATCTGAGCAGGGGCTAAAGCCATGGAGCCACCAGGGCACCCCAGCCTGAAGGCCAGAAACAAACACCAGAAGGCAGCCAAAGAACTCTGCCTGTGCTTCCTTTGCCACACTGAGCCACAGCCAGACGTCCAGGCTCCTCCATCTGGGAACACAGCAGAGTCACTCACGTTATTGAGCTCCTTCCTGTGTTCCAGCAGTTCCCAGAAATGCCACAAGCCATGATCGATGCACAAGCAAAACAACTCACAAATCCCAAATCCATATTTTATTAACACAGATCTTTACACTAAGAAGCTGATGCAGTGACACATGGACTTCTGCTGACCCCATGCTGAGCCTACTTCCTCCAAAAGCCTTTTAACAATTCCAGTTTTACAGTAAAACCAAGTGAACAGACAGATTGATTTTAAAAACAGATTGTGAACTTGGAGCAGATGGAATAGAATAAAATCAAATGTGATTGTGAGGAATCTACAAACTTGACTCAGCCCTAACAACTGATAGCTTGGAACAGACCAAATGGAGTTTTAGTTTTCCCTACTACATCACTCCCCAAAAAGAAACACTCTAATGTTTCTTTTAGGACTGTGCTTTGCCAGCACAGAGCATCTTCTCACCTTGAACATCCCCACAGCTTTTTGGCACAAGGACATGAAACAATAAATCATAAGGCTGGAAGCACAGTAACTGGGAGCTTGTAAAAGTGCAACAGCAGGTTCCTGAGCAGCCCCATCCCTTGTGGGCAGCAGGACAAGGAAAATGTTCTGTTCAGTGCCCAGCTCACCTCCTGCACAGGCGGTGCCAGCGGGTTCTTGAACTCGGAGAGGGACACGGGGAGGGAGAACTTGGCCAGCATGGAGGGCAGGTTGTGACCCCGGAACTGACAGGAGAAGGCATCTGCCAGGGGAGAGTACCTGCAGGGCAGAGGCAAAGGCACAGATCAGCTCTGAGGTGCTGCTCAGGGTAACTGTGAGCCAATGAAGCATTGCAGAAGTGCCAATTCCCAAATGGAATATTCCCTGTGATCTAGAAAACTCCTAAGCATAGTTGATGGCATATTGTGTCCTGCAGAAGCCAGCCAGGAGCTCATGCACTTTGACCTCAGCCTTATATTCAGCTCCAGCGTTTTAGTCAAGGTGTGGAGGGAATCCAGAGGAGAAAAATGAAAGTGATAAAAAATCCAGGCCTGTGCAGCCTCTGATCAAAGGGACAGAGCTTGGGCAGGACACATGACCTCTGAATGTGCCAACTGCAGCTGCAGATGTGGCTGTGCCCCCTCCTGTGCTGACAGGTTAAGAAAAAGGTCTGAACAGAAGTAAAGGATAGACAAGTTAAATATCAGAAAACTGTCTGTGTTAGCATTTCCATCTCCAAAGGTCTTCAGGAACAGCACTGCCATATTTGACACAGGCACAGTTGTTGCTGAATGACCTCAAGGTCCCTTCCAGCACTATTTTTATACTTCCATCACCAAAGTTTTGATTTAAAACTATTTTCCTATAACTGAATTCCAACATAGAGTCTAAAAGCATCACAAAATCCAACAGAGGATGGGTTGCCAATCTTCAGCAGAGCAAAAATACCCACCCCTGCCTCCACATATTCGTTGCAGTGACTCTGCCTGCTCTCCAAATGGTGCCTTCTGTCTGTGACAAGGCACACAATATGGAATGCCAGCACATGAAACAACACAATGGCAACTTTTGCTACTTTTGATTCATGTCAGGTGTGCCAGCTACACAGAGAGCCCTATAAACCACTCCTTTAACTTAATCATAAAGTATTTTAGTTTTTAAATGTTCCCATATTGGACATGCAGTGAGCAGGAGTACTAAAAACACCGAGAGCAGCTCCACAGGGTAAATATTGCTTCCAGAGCCCTCACCACCACAGAGGAATATTGATCTCCTCTGCTGCTCCTCCCTGCCCACACTGGCTGTGCAAGTTCAGGCTCATGTAATGATTTGTGTTTTGCACAGCCTCAACAAATTCATGAAGAAAGATCCCACTCTGTATCCAGTCAGGGAAGGAAAGTGCATCTGCACTCCTCAGCACTGTGTTGCCACCAACACATTTTCCTTCTACTTACAGGCAGACACTGGCATTTGGAGAAAGCATGTAGACATTGTTTTCACAAAGAGGATAAATAATAATTGCTTTGCCCCAGTAAACAAGATGTGCTGCAAGCTGGAAAACCTGTATTGAGAAAACAGGGAAAAATTAGGGGAGCAAAATCAATATACAAACTCTCACCAAGAGCTGCATACAACAACAAAAAAAAGTCTCATTTGAATGGAAATGAAAGAAAAATGTTCCATCCTTTCACCCTGCCTTCAGAATAAATTCATGGTTTAATATAACATGTGGCAGATCAAAAAGCATTTGACAAGGTTATGAATTTACAGAGATTCGCTTCACATTTCTAAGCAACTTAGTATTTCCTGCCTCAAAGGAATTCCTTCAAACTGTATCAACACAAGTTTAGTTTCTTTTCATGCCCCCAAAAACTATTTTTCTTTATGCACAAAATGCATTGTGTTATACATGAAAAATAAAACACGTGAAAAATAAAACAAAAGAATCAGCTTCTACTATGACAGAAACATAAAGGAAACCAACACTGCCTTTTTACTGCACAGAGGTATTTCAGTAATGAGCTACATAAAGTATTTTAATGTGTTAAACAAGTCAGTGGTTGCTAATGGCTCTGGAAAAGCCACATAAATAGTGTCTACAAGACATAAAATCCAGCCTGTATCATTAGATGCATTTAACTGTGCTTTTTTGTGGAGAACAAGACTACAGAAGCAGTAGGGAATTTCCAGAGTTCATCCCATAGCCAAGTAACACCACAGACCACTGCAGGCAGACCTGGAGTTTTATTACAAAGCAGGACCTTTCCCTTGGAAGAGGAGAAGGCACTGACCTATGACCAGGAGAACATGTGATGATGAGCTGTGCTTCCCCTGGCACACAGAGCACAGGCTGTGTCTCTGGGTCTGGATCAATCCTTAGGAGCATGGAGCAGCCCCTCCCTCTCTGGGATCACCTCATGTAATCATCCCAAATGATCAGAGTAACCCACAGGGGTCTCTCAAGGGTCTCATCCCTCCACTGGCACAAACTTCCCTTTCCAAGGGCTCATCACGTCACCTCCAGCAATTCAGATTTGAGAGCTGCTTGTCACTGCTGGAAGGGCATTTGGAAAGAGCTGCTGGCTTGGGCAGACTGGCTCAAGAGCTTTCCCCAAGCCTAAACTAAATCTTCTTCCCATGACTGCCAAGTCTGGGCACTAGTGGACTAAGGGAAATGGATGGGAAGGTTGTATAGGTATTTACAAGTCTTTGGTAGACAAGATCTTGGCAGCTCCAGGGGAAGCAACGTATTTGGCCATGGCAGCTGCAAACCTGCACTTGCATTTTTGGTGCTTCATTTGCATGTAGAATCAACGTGGCAGGACCAAGACAGGCCACTGTGGTGTCAGCCAGGAGTAAAATTGCTCTGGTTTTAACTACCAAATACGAGGCACAGGGAAGACAGAGCCATGCTCCTCAGAGGGACACAGGGACAGATCCTGAGGCAACATACACAAGGAGAACAATGGGAAATTCCTATCAGATAAGGGGAAAGGTTTGATGCTGGTCAGGTGCTGGACCAGAGAGGCTGTGGGAGGCAGCCCTGGAGGTGCTCACAATTTGAAGAGAAGTTTCTCATCAGCCTGTTTTAATGGACTTGTCCTGAGAAGTGGTGGGGACTAGAGACCCCAGGGATGGGGACCAGAGATCCCAAAGATGGGGACTGGAGAGCCCTGGGATGGGGACTGGAGAGCCCTGGGATGGGGACTCCCATCCAAGACGGGCTGTGGCTGCAGAGCTGCCCAGCACTGTCCCTGCACCCTGCCCTCTGTTTCTCCAGCCTTTCCCCAGTTCCAGGGCTGGTACCTTCTCCCTGCTCTCTGCTCACACCGAGGGAGCTGCCATGCTCCTGCCCCACACAAGCCCACGGGCACACAGAAAACACCTCATGATTTAAAAAGCTCTCAGCAGCTGCTGACAGCTCCCCATACCTGCAGCAATGCCAAGTCAGCATCTTGAGCCAGTTGCTGCAAATTCTTCACAGCAGAGGTAGTTTTAATTACTCTCACCAGGGCAGGAGAGCAGTCCAACGGGAGCTCATTAAGCAATGACTTCTCATCATTTAAAAGTAATAAGGCATGGTAAGGCCTGCAGAAAAATAGAATACATTTGCACAGTAAACTGCAGCTTTTCCTGAAGGCTTTGTTATTCCCACACCATGATACCTGGGGTCAATGTAATGGTAAAAAAAGAATTTCTAATATCATCATTTTGCTCTAACTGGGTTCAAAATCAGCTTATTTTTATGTCACAGTATAAGAGGCTCCCTGTAAAAAGGAGACAGAGGTTTATATGGTAACTGGATACCCCAGTGACAAGGAAAAAGACTGCACTACATTGGCACACAATTGAGAGCAAGTCTGAAAACTGCTCATCTGCATTACTGAAATACAGAATGGAGTAGAAGAAAGGAAAAAAGCAGAAGTTAACTACTTTTGCAGGTAAACAAACACAGGAAATAAGGTATCACAGGACCAGGGCTCTATTTCTTCCAAAGGCAGAATTACTTCTGGGTCAACAGATTAAAATGAACACACAATTCCTAGCTGCAAACAGTGCAGGCCACTCTTGCAGCATCCCCTCAGTACAACCACCACCATGAACCCAGCAGCACCACAGAGCCACAGCAGCTCCAGGGAGTCCTGTCTGAGCCCAGGGCCCCTCTCCTCCACAGCCCAGTCACACCATCCCCTGCCTGAGCCACCTCAGACATCTGCAGCATCACCCTTGGAACAGGAGCAAGGACTGGCCACACTCTGAGGGGCAGAGCTTGCTCTTACCTGATAGATTTCAGACTTCTCTCGATTGCTTCTGGGGGTATGAAGTTGGTGGCAACATAGTGGATTTTGTGAGGAAGGCAGAAACTCACTTCCAGCCAGTTGTTGATGTGTAAACGAACCACCCCTGTCGTGCAGAGACTGAAATAGGAAGGTAATCAATCCATACAGCATTTACTCTGTATCACAAATGAAAACAGTGGTCCAGGGTCACCCTTGCCCAGAAATCAGACCTGAAAAAAGACTGAATGCACCCCATCTGTCCCCAGGCTGGCTGAGGACCAGCTGACTCCTAACTGCAAAGGCTTCCCACAGCTGGACACACAGAGCACCATCCCCTAGAGCATTTTGAGGGAGATTTGAAAGACTCCACCACTGACCTTCTGCTCCCTCTGCCCTTAACACTGCAGCAGTGTCTCAAGTTAAAGAAGTTTATTCAAGATCTACTGCAAGGCAAAGGAAAATTCTCTAGGCCAAAGCTGCAAAGGGCAAAGATGAACTGGGCACACTGCACCTCCAATTTCCATCTTGCCCTCCAAGCAAAAAGAAAAGAGGATGTCTGTACGGGGCACGGGCTGTTCCAAGCAGCACATTTCCACAACAACAGCCTCCTTGGGTTCTGCTTAGGTTGTTTGTTTTCTTACTAACCTGCTTCTGCTTGTCACAAACATGTCTGTTACATGGTTTTTTCATTCTAGGAAACCACAGGGACTGAGCTACGCCCTCCATCTGACTCCAGACAACAGGACTGAGTGGAAGTGATAGATGTCCCAGGAATAATAAAGACAATAAAGTCATACCCTGGCTCTCAGCCTGAAAGCAACAATAAGCCTCTTTTACTGAAAAAAAAAAAAAACAAAACAGAAATGCTGGAGATTAAAGCCAGGATCATCACTCAGGTGCTTTTACAGAAGTCTGCAAATCTAGACAAGGGTGGAACCCACCTCAGGAGGGAACTGTATTTACTTAAAATGGGTAATGTACCATAAGGACCTAAGCCAGCACCACCCTGCAAACCCTCACAATATTCCCATTCCCAGGCAGGGAATGCTGGCCCGGGAACAGCTGTGCTGGGAGGAAGCAGCAAGGCCCACCACACGCCCACCACACCTTTTCATAAATTAGGAACACATAAACTTCTCAATCTCAAGCTCTACAACTGAGAACTGGATTTGTCAATGTCCTTAGATTTCAAACTTTCTTCCCAAACATCATTTTTTGGCTTAAAATCAAATTTCAAAGTTTGTGCTCTGAAAATTCCAGCCTGAATTTTAAATTCAAAGTGTGTTGAGACTCACAATTTGACTTGTGTGTCAATAACTGCCATGAATTTCCTCCTCTACACAAAACAGCTTAAAAAACATGCCAGGAACAGGCCAGGAGCAAATACATGTCTGGAAAATCATTTATAATCAACATTCAACTGCAGGTCACAAATGAGCATGGTGTTTTTGAAGCTCATCTGGCTCTGTAGAGGGTTTGGAGAGAGCAGAAATTTCAGATTTAAACAAAAACATTGGGTAGCTTTGGCTGCTGGTGCAACTACTCACCAAACCACAAGAGAGTGGTGAGGGAGCAAACAGCATCTCCTCCCACCTTGCACATGATCAGACTCATTGGGAACATCTCACTGCAGACAATACTTTTCAAAAGGTTTTGTTCTCAAATCTTGCATGGAACTCTGGAAAATGCTGATTTTTCAAGCTGCAGATGGAGCAGATACTGTGTGTTTTCCTGTTTTTAAAAGGCACTGAGAGGGTGAATCCTGTGTCTGTCTGGCCCCACCAGCTCTGATCTGCTGAGGCTCCCAGCCCTGAAGGAACATGCAAAGCACAAACACCTCTGGTTTGGTTCATTAAATGCTGCAGCTCCAGTAACACTGCTTATCCCACCACAAAACAACTGACAGATAAAGCTGGATTCCCTCAAAATACATCAGGGAAAAGGGCTGAAGCTGTGGTTATCCACACCATCTCCCAGGCCAAATCCTCACAAGGGGAAATATGGCAATAAAGGAATGGGACAAGTGAGTCCAGAGACCACCTGAAAGCTCTTGGGGCTGTAAAAACACATTACCCAAGAGCAGCAGAGATACATGAAAGCATGAAACACTTGCAGGGACATCTTCCCTGCAGAATTTAACATTCAGACAAAGATCCAGTTGGCTCCTTTCATTCTTTCGTCCAAGCGCGCTAAGGCAAAAGCTTTAATTACATAATTACACTCTCCAGAGCATAATTTTGTCTACAGTGCACTATACAACAAAAGCCTAGAATTAAAGACAAGAAAACCAGATTTTCAGTTCTGATCTGGATCTTAATTTTATTCTTCTGCATTTGCATTCAGCTGTACAATTTCCAGCCTTCATTATAGCTTTATGAACACAATTTCTCCTTCACCTGCCCCTCCTTGGATGGAAAATAATTGTCTGTTATTTGACAAGAACAAGCTACACCCTCCAGCAGCAACACTTGCAACTGCCCTTGGCCAGACAGCAGAGTTAAATAATGTCCCCAGTATAGACAAAGAGCTTCAGGTAATAGGACATTAAACCCTCCAAGACATTTTATTCCATAAAAACTTTGTTTCAACACTTTTTTTATTTAAATCTCTGGTTTGACAACACCTGTTGAGATCTGAGGGATACATGGGCAAGGGTCAGGATGATCAGATAACAAAGTTTAAAATTGAGACAGGGAGAGGCAAACAGGAAAAAGTTGTTTAATGTCTCTCCCTCATAAGGCCCAAGAGATATCTCATGAGACAAGAAGGAGCAAAGTTCAGAAGAAATAGAAAGAAACACAAAAAGTAGTTAAAGCCATGGACCTCCTTATCAGAGATGCTGTGGTTGTTCAATATTTACTCTGGCTCACAGGATTGTGGGCTAATTCCGGGAAGTGAGATCAGCTGAAAGCTGCTGAATGTACAGAAACCCCTCCAGAGCTGCAGGAAGCTGGGGAATATTTTAGGGACTATCGCTGCTCTTTTGCTCCATTCTGCTGTGTCCTGAACTGTGAGCAACTGCCCCAAAATGAGCACATGAAAATTTGCCAAGCATCTCCCAGAACTGCAGCCTTTTCCATAACTATTGGCAAAAAAAAGAAATCCCACTTCATGTTTATAAGAGTTAAGAATTTTTACATATGCACACCTCATATCACATCTGTCCTGTTTATATCAGAAATTAACCCCATGTTTTTGAGTGTGGTAGAAGTGAGCTTGTAGCTTTGGAGTTTGTTTTTCCTAGAGGTGGTGACTACTCAGAGCTTTGAAATTATTTCACATTTCCTTATAAAGGACAAACGGCTGTCCTTTGATAAATAACTGTAGTTGGATTATATTTTACAGCACAGACACAGAAATAACATTAAGTCTCATAGAATTATTCCCTGAGCTGAGATGGGCTAGATCTACCACGCAGTTAAGTCCCACTAGGATAAAAATTTATAAAGGCTCTTTCTGTATTAAAAAGAAGAAACAAACAATCCAAACCTCACCAAAAACTTCTCTGTAGTTCCACTTGTATTCCAGTGCAAAGCTTAGAGAAATTTGCTAGAACCAGACAGGCAGTTAGTAACTATCAAGCTCACATATTATCTGCAGTAGCAGATAAAACTATGTGAAAGCTCCTCAAAAGAGACACATATTGTAACATCAGTTAAGTTTTTCAGCACTGGAGGTCCTGAAAACTTTCTTGGGCCTAAAAACCATTGCTTTCTGTTCCACATCTCTGTTCCACGAGATGAATGAAGACTCTCGGTTTTCTGAATTAATCAAAAAGCAACATTCTAGTTCTCTCCATTAGAGACAAATGTCCCAGTAAGTAGAAGCTGAAAGTCTCTGAGCTGTCAGTGTAATACCACTCCATTGCTAGTCAAGATGTCCTGGGTACTGCTCCTGCCTTATGGAACACAGGCACCTCATTCAAAACCAGGGAATACTTTGAACAAGAAAATTATTCCTCTACTTGTGGTTTTGATCAAACCAACTTGCTCAGGGACATGTTGGGTCTTGCCTGAAATACCTCAGCACCATCTACAGGAAGCCAAGGGCTTGACAACACCTCTGGAGCACCCCTGGAAACTGGGCTGGAATTGCAGAAGTCAGCAGGCACTTGGAAATGCTGGCTGGAGCAAATCTCAAACGGAGAGCTGGGCTCCATCTGCAATTCAAAGTGCTCTCTCCATTCCACTGGCTGTTCTCCTACAGCCAAGGGCTATGCCAGAAGTCTCTGTAAATTTAGAACAGCACATTGTCACTGCATGCATCTGAAGGTTTACCCTTCCCAGCAGTCCCTTCTTTAAAAGCAACAGAGCAAATCTTTCCATCTTCCCTCTGAGGTCATTCACACTCCCCCACACTCTCTAGGTGGCCTAAATCCCTCTTGAAATGTGGTATCCAAACTGGATAAAATATTCATTACAACAGGAGTTTTACAACCGTGAGCAGGATTGGTGCCTATCTCACAGACAGAACTTATTTTATGCATTCTTGTCTATCTGGTTTTTTTTTTTTGTAACTCCAGTGTCACTTATGACTAACCCTCACTTCACAGAAGACCACACAGACTTCACTCCAGACCTGCTGCCACACAGGAATAATTAATTCATCCTGGATTTGCAGAAAAAAATTGTATTCCTAGAACCCTTTTTCTACTTTACTAAAAAATAATTCTAAATCTATGCCTGCCTGGCAAGGTGCTGCAGCTCCTCTCAGCTGATCTGACTGCAAGTGTAACAAGCATATTTCCTAAGCTCTCATATTAATAGAAAAATCCTGCAGAACATCTCCTTATCACCCAACAACACTGTCAGCTCCTTTTCAAGTACAACTTTCCAATCAAGCACACAGGCACTTCAGATTTTTACCAACACCTTGTTTTACTTACATTTTCTTTTGACAGTGTCATATGAAAGTGTCAAAATCCAACTTGCACCACTTCTTCCCCACTCACATTGCCTAAATGAGGGAGAAACTGCCTTGTTTTACATCTGGGGGCAGCACCAAAGTGCATTTCTCCATGGTCTGGCTATTCCTCCTTATCTCTGGGAAGGCTCACATCAGCACAGTCCATGAGCTTGGGCTCTGTGTTGCTACAGTCTCTGCTAAATGCCACAAGATGTCACTGTGACCCTAAAATATTTGGAAACATGATCAGGGTTTGCCCAGTCATAAATACATGGCCCTAGAGGAACAGAAAAATATAACTGGAATATTAGAATTACAGGCTGCATAAAAACTGCCTTACTTAAAAGTTTAGTACTTAAACTTTAGTACTTAGGTTTTGTGCAAGGTGTGTGGAACCACATACCACATTTCTTCAAACAAGATGAAATTCTCAGCTCTGGAACACAAAGGGCAGCTTAGCAGAAGTTTTCTGATGCTCTCTGCAACCATTATATTACTTAGGCTCCCAGTGCCTTACTTTACAGGGCTCTGATCCCCTTTGTACATGAGAAGCCACAAGCCAGGGAGGATAAAGGGTTCCCTGAAGAACTCCAACCTGATTCTCTGAATGCCTGACAAATACCCCAAGCAAGGGGCACAGCATCTTCCCCCCCACACAGAGGTTCTGTGTCCCTCTGTCCAGGCCCTTCCCCAACCACAGTCCTGGCTGCAGGAGCCTCTGGGCCCCAGGAGGCAGCACTGACAGGCACAGGCTCCTGCTAAAGTGCAACAACAGCCCCACACTGCTTTGAAACCTTTGCCAGAACTTCTGACCCAGTCAAGAAACAGCATTCTGCTGGAAGTCTCAGCATCTCCTGCAAATTTGCTGTCCAGACCTGCACAAGTCAGTACCTGACTTGCCATCAGTGCCCCTGCAGCACTTTCCCCTTAGCTGCAGGTTTAGAGCACTTCCCCAGTGCTGTGATACCCCTGTTTGACACTCGTAGGTTCTACACTTCACTTGTCAATAGGTGGCCCTGCACTAAGGAAGAAAAAAAGTCATTCTTAAAGCTGTGACAGACATCATCAGCTTTTAAGAACAAGACACCAAAGACAGACCAAGGTAATGATTAGCATAGCAGTTCTGCAAACATTTCACCTGACTTCCAGGCTTCACATTGCTCTGCCTGGTTTTAAACCCAAATCCCAATGATTAACAGCATGAGGAAGTGGATAATATCCTTAGGAACAAAGCCAAGAGATTTCCATGAGAAACAGCATACTATGAGCTAAGACTAAAATCCAACTTACCTGTCATATGTCTCTTTGAGATCTCTGGCCAGTTTGCACTTGGGTAGGATGTGATGAAAAGGTGACTGGGGCCCTTCTGTGGCTATGGAAAAATTCAAAACAAGAAAGTAAATAACTGATTTCAAATCAAAGACTTTCTTCTTCCCCCACTGGGTATCAACCTGTATCTTAAGATCTACAGAATTTGTATCATTTTAATCTACAATTATCTTTCAAATATTTTACATAATTCAAGTTACATGTTAAGATGCTAATAGTGAATTATTGCCAACTTCTGCTAAACCTCAACTCAGTTAAGCACATGTAACCAAATCTGACAAATGATGACTTTAAATGCTATGTTTTTATAGATGTTAGCTTTAATTTTTAATGCTTGCAGCAAGATAATGCATCACTGTCAGAGTTCACCTTAAATAGTACATATTGTTATAGCAAATTTTCCAAGTACAGTCAATAAAAATGCTCTGTAACTGTTTGCTAGCCATTTAACAGCACATAAGAGGAGGGTTTCCACATAAGGAGTCTGGTGACTCAGCACACAGCATTAAAGCATGCAAAACTTGCTCTAGGCTGGGTGAAGCAGGCCACACAGGAGCTCTTCCATGTCAGCCTGACAGGGAGAGGCAAACATGATGGCTCAGTGCACAGTGTCCAGGGATTGTGCTGAACTTAACTAGCAAAGAAACTATTTCACCTCTAAAACCTACATCTCTGCATAGGAATAGTGAATTTGGCTGAGGCAAAATGCAGTGAAAAGCTGTCAGAATGCTACAGAGCACTAAAACTTGTTCACAGTGATCCCAGGCACAAGAGAAGCAAGAAGGCACAACCAGCACCTCCCTGGCAGAGCGCTCCTGTTCAGAGGCACCGCTGCTCAAAGCACTCACTCTCTGACATGGCAGACACCTCGTCCTGGATGGCCAGGATGAGCTTGGCCTCGCGGGTGAGGTACTGGCAGCGGCGCTCCTCGTGCTGCAGGACGATGGCGATCCTGCGGGACAGGTTGTGCAGGCAGCTGATCACCGACGGGTCCGCGTTGGCCTGCAGGGAACACCAGCAGCACTGAGCCACGGGCACACAGAACTGCAGGGGCATGGGGAACAGGCAAATGGTTTGCCATTGAGGCCAAAAATCAGCCTCTCAGCTGGAAAAAGAGCAGCGTTTTCTCTACTGCAACCAAGCAGAAGCTCAGAGGTGTCCAAATGTAATTTGGATTTCTAAGCTCGTTGAAATGCATCAAAGGAACACCACACCTGGAGAGGGATAGTCCTATCTGGTTTGTTGTTCCAGTTGTTAATGGGCCTTCTACCAGCAGAGAGCAACTTCACACAGTGAGACCAGAAAGTGTCAAGCTTTTTGAAAAGGCAGAATATCCCAATGTTCAGGTTAAACCCACTTGTGGCAGCACAAGGGCTGCAGTGCCTTCAATGTGTTCCACTAACTCCATGTTGCCACACTGGAGTTTGTCCCATGTACAGACAAGGCAGTAACTAGGTAACAATTACCAGCTCATGACCAATATTTTCATCCCAAATCTGAATTAATTTGGATCTCAAAAAAAATTCACAAATATGGTTTATTACTAACACTGCATTTATGAAAGTCCCAGAAAGAAAGCACTGGAAAAATATCACATCAGTACAGCTGCCAAGGGGGGTGAGGGGGAATTCAGTAGCTCCAGCATGAGTCAGCAGCTGCTTCGTGTTTGTTAAGACATTTAAATGAATTTAAAGTTCTGGCAAGTGAGCACTTGGCACAGAAACCAGCAAACTGTGACTCATCAGTTTTTTGACTCTGCTGTTCTTGCTGAGTCACGCCACGTCGTAGCCCTGAAGCTCAAATACAGCAGGATCAGTGCTGATTATCACCCTTGGGCCTTTGCCTGCTCTGTCTGCCCACTGCAGATGGACACTCATCTTTATCTCTGAGGGCCTCCACCCACCTCCTGCACTGCACCACTCCATCCCAGGAAAAAATTTCCACTTGCTTCTTGCCCAACACCTTCCAGAAACCTGGCTGCTCTCTGTGAACTAAGAGTGTCTCATTTGGCAAATGGATTCAGTGCTGCATCACACACACAATTACATCAGTATCATCACATGGCTGAAGGGCAAAGAAAGCAAGTCTTCCTAGAAGCATTAGAAATTAGATTCCAGAAAAATGTGGGCTTGTCTTCACTGTGAATGAAAGAGCATTGGTTTCAACACTTCTGCTGCCACATGGCTCAGTGTACATCAATGTTTGTGTTTGCAGGTGCATCTACACGCACTTCCCTGCAAGCAAAGCACAGGGCTTTAACAATACACCAAAATAACATCTCTTAACATGTGAAATCTAAAATCAACTCCTCCATTGCAAATTCAGCACTCCCTGACCCAGGAGTGTCCTAAAGTACAGGAACATTGCATTCCCAGCAGAGCTCTGTAAACAATTTCTGGCTTCATTCAAGTAATTGTCTTGTGTACATCTGAGTACAAGTCATGCAGGCTGGGGCCATGTCCATCTCACCATTGCAAAGCCAGTGGTAAGAAAAGTACTGGTGCTAAAAAGAAAAAAAATGTTCCTTTCACAAGCAGGGAGCTGGAGGTTTTTAAATAATGACATTAGATAGAGTTGAACAAAAATTAACCATTTCCAGAGAGACAACTATTCCATCTCCCTCTTTTATTTTTAAAAAACCTATGGACTGAGAAAAGTAAGCCAGGGCTTAGAAATCAAGTAATGCTTGAACATAATGACATTTCTAGGGCTTTATACACTTAATTAGCCAAGCCAGGATCCCTTAACACTAGCATCTAGTTAATAGAGGAAGCCTGAAAAAAATTCCAGGCAGAAACTATGCATTTGTTCTAGGTTTTTGCTGAACATTGAAACCTCTTTATTCTTCATTTGTACTTTCTTCTCATTTAGCTGCTCAGCTGCTGCTCCCTGGCACTCTCCCTTTACGGTGACCCCACTGCTGAGAGGAGGCAGCTTTCAAACACTGGCCATTAATCATAAAACAAGCCTGGAGTGTGAGCCTACGGCATTCTCTCATGCTTCCAAGGCACATCCCCCTGTCAGATGGAATGGAGACAGTCCTTACCCTTAGTGCAAACACCACGTTGAACAGAATCATGGTGGGCATCTCTCTCTTTGGTGAGGGGTCAGTTTTGGATACCTGAAAAATATTTTTTAGAAAATCCCATCAGCTAGTGTCAGCTGGAGACAGTAACAAAGGGAAAGTAATAAAATTTTTTTTTTAAAAAAAAGCCCTAGTTAAATAACAAGCTGAGAAAAGAGAGCAGACAAATCAATGTATAACATCAAATATGACTGGCAAAATATAGAACTATGCTTTTGTTTTTAATTGGAGTGTCACAGCTAGTCTACAACACAGCCTTTTCTGAGCAGCTGTAAAGACTTAAACCAAAGCCTTTTAGTCACAAGCATGGAAATGAGTGTCAGTTAAGACAGCACTCTTAGAGTCAGTTATTACATTTAGCATCATTAGGGACTTTAGGTTTAAATTCTTTGGATAACTGTCAGATATACTGTCAATAGAATTCCACAGATCTCAGGCCACACCTATTCCTTCCGTTCCTAAAATCCCCATTCAAATTGCATCCTGTTACAAAGTGCTGCTTTAATCAGACAAAAGATGCTCTAGAACAGCAGTGCTAAAATAAAAGGTTTGAATTTTCCCTTCCTGAAGGATTTCAAACACATTATCCAGCCCCTCTATTCTCTTTGTAGCAGAGATCTCCATCCCTAAGGCAGATTCAAACTTTTCAGCGAGAAGAAACAGCTGGAGCTGAGACAAGCAAGTGGAATTTGCACAGCCAGACCAACTCCAAAGGGAGCAGTGTCGCCACAAGATGGAGCACAAAATGCAGAGGACATTCCCACCCCCCTGCAGCTCCCTGCTCAACACCCACCCAATCCCAAATGCAAACAGCTGGAACCTGCCAGGCCAAACAATAGCTGCTCTCTACCCAAAGTATGTGCAGCACCTGAGCCAGGGCAAACACAGAGCAGCATCTGCCCTTCCGCACAGGTTCCAAGAACCAGCAGTGAACTGCTCGGGACTGAACTCCAAAATCTGACTGCTTTCACTCAGGAGTCTCAACATTTAAAAAACTAAGAGGTGATACATATTTGGGGGTATTTTTGTCCTAAAGTGAAAATTACATTCTGTCAGAAAGGCAGTGCTGAGAGAGTGGTAAAGGCAGTTTATTGTGTTTATCTGTTCTGGACTTACAGGTTCCAGGACATCTTGTGAATTTCCAAGCATAAGGACTGATCCTGTTCCTTCCTTAAAATCAGAGAAACCACCACCACTAACATCAGTTGGGAGGCAGGCTAGATTTCATATCCAGAAAAAAAGAAGACGACTCAGCTGGGAAAGAAAATGCTGAAGGAATTTGAAGACTTCAGAACATTGCTACATAAAAAGCAATCTGGCACACAGGATTAAATGTTTGTGCTCTTGTAACTCCTGAATCTCATCAAAGTAAGAATTTGCTGAGCTGTCCTGTGGATTAATTTACTGCAGTATGAACTCTGAGGAAACTCAAAGCAGAGGCTGCTGGGTTACTCCAGACACTGCCTGAGCTCCATGGAAAAGCAGCTTCATCTGGCTTCCTCCTAACTGCAGGACGGTCCCAGATATAGACTGGCACAAACCAGCAGAGATGGCTGCCACATCTAGAAGATTCTGGACTCTAGAAAGTTCTGGGGTGCCTCCTGGGATGATAAGACACACCCAGAAAGAAGTTCCTTCAGAAGTAACAAAAAAGTGTTTACAGCTCTTTATAACTTTATTTATTTGCCTAGATACAATTTTATTTAGACAAACTGAAATGAAGTGACTTTTCATGCAATTAGGATTTAACTGATTGGAAAGAATGTACAAAAATAAGTGGTGAAAAAAATGCAAATGCAAATTTTCAACCTCATTTACAGCACATTTTGGAAGTTGAACATTTCAGATGAGATTAGCAAAAGAAAGGAAATAGATCTGAGGCAGAACAGGTCACTGCTGTCAGAGCCTTGAGGGCATCAAAAGGTCTTAATGGCCCTGGCCAGGACCCCACCAGAGTCCAGGAGCTGGGAGCCCCATTTAAGCTCAGCCCAGGGCCTGGAGCTGTGCCTGTGTCCAGGATGGACCTTGGATCTGTGCCTATCTCCTGGATAGACCCTTGGTTAAGTACATCCCACCCTTGTCCTGTCTCCTGCTCCTGGCTGGGTCCCAGTACAGACCCTGGGCCTGGTTCACCACTTGCCTTGCCTGGGGCTGCTGATGGATTTGCACAGCTTGGGCACACTTGACTCCTGTCTTCCAAGACAGTTTAACCTTTTCAGGACTGAGTCTTGGTGATCTGCCATGACATTTCCTGCAGACCCACAACTGAGTTCCCAAAGTAGCATCTTTTGATGCTTTAGGCCAGCTCCTCACTGGGATTAAAGCAGTCTGGTCCTCTAAATATCATGCAGCAGTTACCAACAAGCTGTTTCCACCTCTAATTATAGGACAGAATTGGCAAGCAGACTTCTTTTTACCCTGAAAAAAGGAATGACTTAGCAAATTTGATGAAAAATGAGACCAAAGCAGTTCAGTGACAGGGATCAGTGTTGGATTCAGAAATTACCAAAACCTAGGTCATTCCTTCAGTTGATCAGGAAGAAGGAATAGGACAGGGAATATTAGGAACACAGAAGGAGGTGAATTCTTTCCTGGATTTAAGCAGGGCTTTTTACATAGCCCAGGTAGCAAACTGCTCTCATTCTAAGCCCCTAAAACATGGGCCATGGAGGAAGGTCTCAATGCAAAGAGCAGCCTGACTTGGTCCACAAGAAACTTTTAGATCTCTTTCAACATCCTACATATTCCATCTAAGTCTTGTGGATCATCTTCAGCCTCAGGAAAAGTTAAAAGCCAAACAAGGCTGACGCAGCTTTTAGCATTTGTGAAGGTTTTTGGTGGTGTTTTTTTAACTGCCAAACTAATTAGAGGTGCTAAAAGCTAACTTGCAGTAACTAAAATAGTGAGAAACAGCTTTTTGAGTTGGAGTGCCCAGTTTTACTTCTCTTTACTCACACTGCTTCCCTACAGCAACCAGAAGAGTTTCTGTGATCACTGACAGCTCCCTCAGTTTGCTACTCACTCCACTGACCCAGAAGTAAAAGACAGCTTGGAGCATCAGGAAGTAAAAGCAGGATCAAAAGCCAGCATGCACATTGTAATTGCAGGTTTCCTCCCTAAAGTCAGGCAGTTTGTGAAGAAGGCAGGACCCAGAGGGGATCTCATACCTACCTGCCCGAGGGCATGCTGGAGCAAGGTGGGATGGCCAACAAAGCGAACATTATCAATCTTCAATTCAAACTTTTTGCCACACATATCTGACTTGGTAGCCAAAATTGTTGCCAGGATGACATCTGAAAACCTTGAAGAGCAGAAACAGAAATTATTACCGTTTTCAAAAAGCACACCCCCAAAATGTTCCTCCAAACACAGAAATATTTAACTCAGAAGTTTTTAAGGTGTTGTAAATTGCGACTAGATTGCTGTACCTGGAGTACCACCAATTATGTAAAATTAAGGACCCCTAAATTACATCCCTCAGATCATTACAATTATAAAACAGGAAGCGTTCACAACAAAGACTGCAGGGTCATGCTCATTTAATTACATGCTCAGCAAAATACATTGAAAAGATTAGATGCAGTTTGCTTAAATATAAAAAGAGCTGGAGTTAGCCATTGCCTGGATTTAGCTGCAGGTTAATGAACTTACTAAGCAACTACATATTGACACAGCCTGTCACTCAAGCACAACAGAGATCTTTAAGCCACCCAGTATGGCAGAGGGGAAGGCAAGAAAGAGCTGATTCAATTAAAAGAAACATGGCCAATGCTTGTCCTTCCTTTCCTAAAGCTCATCAGTGACATTTCAAGTTCCTCATTCAATAGATCTCAACCTGTGCTCAGCAGCCCACTGGCACCTTCCAAGAGCTGCCTGGCCTCACCTGGGCTTTCTCATTTGATAAATTACATTCATAACAGGCCAGGCCCTTCCCAAAGCCCAGCCATGGGGTTACTGAATTGCTCTGGACTGGTGAGGGCAAGGCAGCAGCTCTGAGATGGGAGGGCAAGTATCCACAAGGGGTCTGCCCTGTGAAACACAGCCAGTGCTGCCAAACCAGCTAAAAATCCCATGTGACAAGGGAGGAATTCCACAACTGCTCTCTCAACATTGGTCTGGTCTCTACCAAGAGTTGTTTTCCTCAAGGTGTCCCCTGGGACAGTGAAGCCCAAACCCACAGGGAAGAGGGACCTCAGCTGCTAGAGTAAACTCGTTGCTCTAGAATAGAAGCAGTGCAAGGCTTGTTATTAACAAGTTCTCTCTTCATCTGTTTTACAGAACCTCCTACTTGACCTAATGAATTTCAGACCACTTTCTCATGAGAGCTGGTTTTTAAGAATGAAAATGTTTATTTCGTTTTGTGTATTTACACCCAGGGATGTGTGTCCCTGCCAGACCATCCCCCTAGAGCAGGCAGGTATCCCAGATAACCCAGTATCACTCAGACAGGAGGGCAGGCATGGGTGTGTGCTGTGCTCATCTTATCTCTTGGCCACAAGTGAGCCTTCCATGCCCAGAGAAGCAATTAATGTACCTTAGTCCTGCTTCCCTCTGAGTCATGGAGTACTACAGAAATTAAGACAAATGCACTCAAGGACACGGGGAATTCCTTTTATTTACAAATACTGGAGATGAAGGACCACACAGGTCCAAACTGCCAAAGCCCCAGGTGCTTGTACAAACAGATTGCCCTGACCACAGCACACTGCTTCTGTTTGGTTTATGGAAGGAGCAGCTGTGCACAAACTTCCAAATCCCTGACTGCTCTGCTCCAAACTCCAAGCTAAGGGCAAGCAGAGACTAGCCAGAGACCCTGGGGCCACTGAGCCCATGCTCTTCAACCACTGGGCTGCACAACTTGGGAAGTTTGGGAGCAAAGGGCAAAGCGCTGGAACAGGACCTGGACTGACAGTCCCTGGAGATCACATTCAAAATCACATTCAAAATAGAAAAAAGTCACCATGACAGCAGTGAGCTTCTCCTCCTCTTTTCACCCTGTTCAGCTGCTCATTAATAGGCTCATTATGGATCCAGGAAGATGGGAACAGCACTGGATCCAAAAGTAGCATATGTTTTTGGGGGTGAAGGGAGAAGGAGGGCAAACTAGAAAATGTCGGCTTCCTATTAAGAAATTAGTTCCCCTTCACTCCTCCAGCCTTGGCAAAGGATACCTGGGAGCTGATAAACTGATCATTCTCATAACTTCCACAAGGAATTACACCAGCAGATCTTTCAACAGATAAATGTGGTGCTAAAGGTGGGAATTCAGCAGTTTCCCAGGGGAGCTCTTGACACCAACAGCCCTGTCTGCCCTACCTTGCATATGGCTTTTTGGAGAGGAAAAGATTAAAAGGCTGATTTTGGAAAGTCCTCAGGATCTTCTCACTAGCAGGGTCTTCTCTGTCTGGGAGGGTACTGAATTGCAGTCAGAGGACATGCTCAGGGACAGAATCCCAACACAGGAGCACCTCCTATCACCACAGGCTCTCCCAAGAGTCATCTGGACTCCAGTCCTATTCTCCTCCTCTGACAGCCTGGATTTATAGTTTTGCTGTCTGGAGTTTTTTTAATCCCCACTGCTCTACATAATTTTGACATTTCTTAGGCCTCAGGTCAATAGGGAAATTGAAGAACAGCAGATGTGTTATTCCCATTACTTCAATTAGTCACCTCATCCTAGAAAATAACACTTCAATTAGTCACCTCATCCTAGAAAATAACACTTTAAATATTTCAATACACATTTTCCATCTTGGGGTATGTTAAGATGACCTAAAACCACTGACTTTTCAGAGCCCAAGAGTTTGTAAGAAGCAGATTAAGTTTTGCAGTTGGGCAGTAACCCTTCTCCTTTCATGAAATTAGTCTGAGCATTGTGAATTCCAGGGGGAAGCAAACCTCTTCCGTACTAAGGAATTCGGCAGGCAGAAAGAATATACAACAAACAAAAGATTTGTCCAATATATTCTACCACTTCTCTCCAGAGCACAACATAGCAACAGCACACTGAAAAGAACAGGGGAAGATTCAAACATTAATTCATTTTTTCCCCCAAGAATGGATTGTAACTTTTTATATGCCACAGGAATTCAAAGCAAGGTTTTATAAAGAATTTTCCTTTGAAGTAGTTCAGAACAGGATCTGAGTATGTAGGTGAGGTTTATGTTAAGCAGGGACTAGGGATGCATTATTTTTTTCCTTCTGGGGCTCTGAGTTAAGCACTTTTCCCTCTATGTGTGTAATCATCCCATTTAGCTGAGTGGGGCACTAAGAACAAGCAACCAGCACAGCTGCTCAGCCCGAGGTCCTCTAAAGAGCTCTCCATCATTACCATGGGATTAAACAGATTACTCACTGATCTGTACTTTCAAGTCACTTCTCTCAGAAAACAATTTGATTTAGGGCTCCTTGCTGGAATAACCACAATGCCAAGGCTATACTTGCTGCATTCCCAGAGCCTCCCAGCTTTTCCCAATTCATAGAAGGGACAGTGCCACATCCATTCTGGATTCCCTACAGGAAGCACAGAAATGTTAGTAGGACCTTGGTAATTATCCTGGCACAAACCTTTAGCAATACATTTCCTACAGACACTGTGATTTAGCATATGATTTTCTCATCATTCAGTGTAAAACAGAAACCAGAAACAAAAGCACAATTAAAAGGATGGTGAGAAAAGAAAGCCATTCTAGACAAAGGTGATTGTTTAGAATGTTTGGTCTTACCCTGAAACCAATTGCTCATCAGTTAGAGGACATTGGTCTCTGAAATGGGAACATGGCCATAAACACAAAACAAAACACAACAAAAGAAAATAAACAAGGCAAGGACACAAAAATACAAAAGAGAAAAAAAAGAGATAATATTAAAAACGAGGATGAACTATTAAGGATTAAACTCTCGTAAAGGAAATACAACTGTTGAGGGGAGTCAAAAGTTAATGGAAGGTGAATTCCAAGAATATATTGGAACATATATGTTCGACAACATGGAGAAAACAGGCTAAGGTAATTTAGCCCTTGCACTAGCAGTGGCTGCTGCCACGTGTTTTCCCACAGTACACAGCATTCATGGAGCTGATTTCCATGGCACTTTTTAATTCATGCTTACCTTAAGAGAAACAGAAGAGGTTGCAGCCTAATTTAAAGCAGATTCTACACCTCACTTTCTTTCCTAGACTTTTGCTATCATTTCCACCAAAGAACCTCACCAGCAGCCTCAAACGACCCACAGCTCTTCCCAACTGGTTCCAGCACTTCCATACCCACAAGGCTTAGGAAAAGAGGATGCCAAGTGCTTATATTTGCAGGATTTGTGAAGGGCCTGGCACCCCCAGCCAGCACTGCTCCTGCAGGGATCCACACAGCAGGCACAAGGCTGGCCACACTCACAGCACACACATCAAGTCCTTCTCTGCCCTGCTCTGTGCCCCAGGCAATAAGCACAGCTTAGGAAAAGGAGATTGAAAAAGCTTTCAAGGCAAAGAATCCTAAATCCTTCTTTATAACAGGTGTACAGAGCAGGACTGAGTTACCACCTTTATTCATTTTTGTATCAGAAACACCTGTTTCAATTTTAACATCCAACTGCCACTTTTTCCTCCAATTAAGATTAAAAAAATTACTTGTTTCCTGAAACAACTTCATAAATGTACTGGAAAATGAACCTGATAAAAGCTTTATAATATCCCACATGAGAAAGGGAAGGCAAACTGAAAACCTCCAAAATCTACTTAATACAAAACACAGCAGATTTCTGCCAGTGACAATGAAGAGAACCTAGAGATCCTAAATGACAAACTGCACAATGGGGTGACATTACAGGAAGGGTGTTTCAAGGAATGGGTGGATGAATGGAAAAGCACAGGCTTACAGAAAGGAAGCCTTTCAGAACAAATACAAGGAAGAACACTGCAGTCCAGTGAAAGGGACAGAGGAAACAAATGTTATCACAGGAGAACTACTGTTTGTTAGAAAGGGACATTCAAACCCTTGTTTGTCAGTAACTTGGGGTTTTTACAACAGAAGCATTTGCTAAATTTGCTAAAACTCCTTCAGTTAGTCAGCTCTGCTACTAAAAACGCAAAGTCTGCTGTAACATATGTTACTATATGTGCCTCCTCATTAGAATATTTGCTTGCTGGCTATACCACCTTCAGAAAAACTCAAAAAAACTTTTTCAAACCAATTTAACATAGCATTATTTTATGGCTTCAAATGAGTAATTGCCTCATATTTTTTCAGGGGAAAGAAAGAAGATTGGCAGGCATCTCTATGAACATTGGGAGGGGGTGTACTCCTGGTAAAACCCTCAGAAACTGAAGGATGTTTTTGAAGAGTGCAAATTATGAAAGGCTGAGAAGAAGCCAACAAAGAGAGACTTGACAAGCAAATTGTTTTGACAGTCACAGTCTTCTGAATACCTTTTTGTTGCATGGTCCCCATCAACACACCTCAAACATTTTTTGCTGCTCAACTTGCTTTCAGCAGGAAGCAAAATATGTATTCTGAGGACCCAAACACAGCTCCAGGGAGCAGAAATTAATACAAGCAAACACACCTCAGTAACCTCGAGGAAGGATTATAATGAATAGGCTGCCATTGTCTATAAAAAACCAAAAAGCATAACAATGACCAGGAAATTGAGCCTAAAATAAAAGAATAAAAGAGAATAAAAGAAATCCAATTATCTATACAAATATGTGACATGGAAATGGAGTTAAAGCACCCAAACTGATCTACTTTTGTTCCTCCTGAGAGCATTAAGAAATACATGCACCTCAACTACTCCAGGAAAGGTCAGTTCCAAAGTAGTTGATCTGGGTTCCAATAGCTCAGGGGAAAAAGCAACAGTAAACATTACCTAGGGCACAATTGGTGCTAGGTTACTAATAAATTAAAGACAGCCATCCAGTATAAAAAAGGATGACTCCAACCCTCTTAGGAACTATTGCAGCTACAAGATAAATCTGAAATAACTTTTGTACTGAGCATGCAGTGGGAAAACCTCAACCCTACAACATTATCAAACTTGCCATACACCACCAACTCAACCTAGCAGTCTGCCCACCCCACAGCCTCTCTCTGTGCCACCAAAAACACCCGTGGGCGCTCCTGACATGCAGGGATTGAAAGGAACCTTTGTCCAACTCTTCCTTGACAAAGTCTTCCAAAAATAATACAAAACCACTTCATAGATGACTTTTACTGTGGGCAATTTCAGAGAGAAAATCATCACCACCAGAAAACAGACTGTACTTCATGCTGATGAACTCTCTCCATGGTCTGAGTGTCCAGGAAGGGAACTGCAGAAGAAGGATCTTACATGGATGGAGCTGCCACTGAAGGAATGGCTCTCACAAAACCAGTAGCTCCATTCTTGGTCTCTACAACCTGATCTTCAAAGGAAACACACAAACTGAAGCAAAAATTCATCATGTTGGGAAGGAAAAAATCAATGATAATATTGGTTTCATGCCTTATGAAAGTTAAACTCCTTTCCTTTCCCAGCTTACAAAGCAAGTGCATCTCCCTCCCTCCCTCCAGGGGATCTGCATTTTTCTGCCTCCACTCTCCCCTTGGAATCTTTTCTATTCCAAGGCACCAACTTCTGTTACTCCTAAAATTGCCTGATACAAATCAAAGTTGGAGCAATCCGTTCCACAGTTTTGAAGATGTCTTTTTCTCTTCTGCTGGAAGAAGCATCTGTGTACTTTAAACTTGCATATTTTTTCCACCTGTACCAGCCAGTGAAAAATATGAACTTTGCCAACAAAAATCCTCTTGTCTAATTTAAATCAACAGCACTCAGTATATAAAGAGCATCAGCATGTTCTTCTACTAGCAGGTACCACTGAAGAGGACACATTTAACTGCTACATCAGTTGTGTGGGCTGCAGGGGACTTTTAAGAGTGATGATTACACTGCTGCTGGGAAAAAGCTTTCAGTAATCAAACTGGAAACAAAGACAATTTTAAAGGGTCTCTGAATTTCAGAAAGCAGATGCTCAGCCATATAAGCAGCACCAGCAGTGTGCTAGACTCCAATATCCAGCATCTAGAAGAAATAAATTTTCAGAGCAACAGAAATGCTGCTGCTCTTCTATTTCCCTTTTCATATGCATGGGAGATACAGACAGATCTGAAAAAATTCTTTTCTTAGTAACAAATACCTGACCAG